AAATCCAGGCTCTTCCCATTCTGACCCCCAGGGCATGGATTGTTTTTTAAAAGGGAAACATAAAAGTTACAAAGGTCTCACTGAGAGTCAGTGTAGCTTATTGCTTAGAGCCCTGGCTCATCAGCCAGACCATCTGGGTTCAAATTCCAAATCACAGAGTAAGTGCCCAATAAAGTTAGCTGTTATTTTATTTGGAGTAAAAAACCAAACTTCCGGTCTACAACCTACTACTTCATGTGTTTCCCATCTCCATAAACCTTGCTTTCTTCTACTTTCCTCAACTGTTCACAACCCACTTCCTTCTTCAGTTTCTTGAACTTGACAAGTTTATTTGCCTCACGGTCTCTCTACTTGTTTTTCTCCCAAGCCAGGGATGTTCTCCCAAATCTAAATGGCTCATTATCACCATTTGGGTTTTGGGTTTCACGTGGACCCTTCTGCAAGGAGCTAATTATCCAAAATAGGTCTTCCTTCCCCAGCGCCATACAGCAGTTTCATTTCTTTTATGACACTTAACACTAATTTACTTGCTGATTGGTCTCCCCTCCACCATTTACATGTAAATTCTGAAACGAAATCTCGTGTTCATCTTTATCCCAGAGTTTAGAACAGTGACTGGTACACTTGATGTTCGTTGAATGAAAAGTTATCAAATTAAAATCTCATCTGAATATTTAAAAACTGTTCCCAATCTCCACGGGGGGAAAAACTGCAAAGAATAAAGAAATCTGGATCCTGTAACAGATACCTCTTATACCAACAGCCCATCTTTTCAAAAATATCTTTCACTAATTTGAGAAAATCCCTGATTGAGTTCTGCCTGATTGTGGATGTCAGAACTCCACTCCCCACCTCCGCCCCCGCCCCCGCCCCCCCCCAGTCTTGCCCCTAGGATATAGGCACGTGACTAGGCTCTACCTAACAGACACACCTCAGAAGGCTGATGTAAAAACTGATTCAGTTTTTTTTTTTAATGTTTCATTTATTTTTGAGAGAGAGAGAGCCTGAGCAGGGGAGGGTCAGAGAGAGAGGGGAACACAGAATCCGAGCAGCTCCAGGCTCTGAGCACCCAGTACAGAGCCCAATGTGGGGCTCGAACCCACGAATGGTGAGATCATGACCTGAGCCGAAGCCGGACACTCAACCGACTGAGCCACCCAGGTGCCCCCCACCTCCCACCCCCCAATTCAGCTTTCTGCCCCAAGCTGTGGCTCAAGGGCTTGGCTTTCTGGGAGAGCAGCCTGGTAAGATCGAGTAGGATCGGTGAGGCTGCCCTAGCAGCTTCCTCTAGTGGTAGATGGGGCAGCATTGCATAGAAAGTGTTCTCGGGAGGTCAGTTCTGTGCATGGCCTTGGCCATCACTCCTGGAACAATAGCTCCCAGGCTGCCCCCCAAATTCTCAGTAACACCATTTATCTCACTTTCATAAGCCCTTTTCCCACATAAGCAGCTGGAGTCAGCTGCCCTATCGGCACAAGTTTGCAGCAACTTCCAAAGCTGCTTAACTTTAGGACATCACTTTTTAGAATACAAAAGAGCTCCCATGCCCACCTTATTGTTTCTTTACTATGGGTCAGAAGCAGCTTTTGTCCCGGAAGTAAGAAGCGGAGACCCAGACCTCCTATCTTTGTTCTCCTCTCGGGGCCTCAGTCATTCATTTCCACAACTCCTTGGGGAAAAGCACAAGAAACCTGCTCCACCTTGATAACAGAGAGAGGCTGAGCCACACCGATTTACAACATGGGCTGCAGTATTTCCCAGTTAAAAAGTAAGGGCTCTCCTAATTCTGAATTTGGTAAACAATACTATCCTTCTATGGTAAGAGTCTATATCAGAGATTGTGGACTGCTGAGCAAATCTGACCTGCAGAGGGTTTTACCTGGCCTGCATATACAGTGTGTGTATATATATAGTATATATTCTATATATATATTGTAGCCAGAGCTACAAAGATGTCACACATAGGCGATTTCTGAGGATTACAGACCTGCATGCAACAGTCTACTGGAGAGCGGAGGCCCTTTAAACATGGCGCACATCCAATTTGCCAGATACTCCCCAAATCTTTGCTTTTAATTTTGCAGGTCTTTAGAAGTTAGGCAGACTCCCTTCCATTTCGTGAAAATGTTTAATAAGCAAACATAAAAGCACCTAAATTTTGTACCGCCACAAAATACTGGAATAAACTAGAGTAAACCCAAGTAGGAAAAGTAAATGGAAGGGGAGACGTGGGGAGGTGTTTGGCGGGTGTGCAGTTTCAGCCACGCAGGATGGGGGTTTCAGGGTCTGCTGCAGTGTATGCGTGTGGCTGACAATACCGGATCGTACGCCTGGAAGTTACTGCAAGGGTAAATTGTGTGTGTGTGTGTGTGTGTGTGTGTTTTACCACCATAAAGAGAATCCCATGTAGTTCACTGCATTAACCGAAGCGAAAAAAAAAGCAGCATATGATGATGCAGAAAAAGCACTCGATGAATTCAACAAAAACTCAGCAAACTATAAATGGAGGGGAAATTCTTTAATCAGATAAAGGGAATCTACAGTAAAGCAATAACGAGTAATACGGGTCAAATAGTCGGGTTTTTCACCTGAGATAGTGAAGGAGGGAAGAATGCTCACTACTCCACTTTATTTTATTTTATTTTTTTTTAAGGTTTTTTATTTATTTCTAGGAGAGAGAGACAGTGCGAGCAGGGGAGGGTCAGAGAGAGAGGAAGTCACAGACTGAAACAGGCTCCAGGCCCTGAGCTGGCAGTCAGCACAGAGCCCGACGTGGGGCTCGAACCCACGAACCGCGAGATCATGACCCAAGCGAAAGTCGGACGCTTAACCGACTAAGCCACCCAGGCGCCCCTCACTACTCCACTTTAATTCAGTATTGAATACGGGGTCCTTGGCCAGTAAAACAAGGAATAAAAATAATACGTCGGATAAAAACAAAAGGGCAGAGGAGGGCAGAAGTTTGGGGCTCAGGCTTGAAGATTCCAAGGCAAGCCAAAAATATAGCGTGTACACCACTGTAAGAAACTTTTAAATCATCAATTTACAAGAGAAACTGACGGACTACAAAGTTTTTGTCTTGTTAAACTATAAATACCTCACTTTGATACTAATTCAAAATATTTTCAGAATTCAAAATATTTACCAAAACGTTTACAATTAAACGTTTGCATTTTAAACATTTACTTCAATAGCATATAATCTATCCTTCGAAGTAGAAAAAAGACTCCAACAATGTCTTAGTAAACATTATAAGCATATCACCTGTGATCAATTTTGTAAGACAAAGTTTACAACACCTTTCCAAGCATGAAAATGGACGATTTAAAAGGCTTTCTGATTGAGGGAGGTGGGGAAAAAAAGCACAGACAAATTATCTATCAAAACACACAATCCTGTCACTTAACATTATGACTCACGTGTTCAAGATCTCTTCCAAAGGCTAAAAACCCAAGACAGTTCTCAGAAACGCTAATATAACGCATTAATAACTACAGCATCCAATACAACAAAAAAGCCCCTTATATAAAGGAGTCCATGTGTTCAGTCATTGGACAATGCCAGGGTCTTCCATACATTCCTGAAAAAAAAATGCATATATCTTCTGGATAACACGGCAAGCCACATCTTCCTCAGGTCAGACTGTCCCATCCACCTCAATACTGCGGAAACGTTCCATCGATTTTGGCGGCCCAGGCCATAAGGCCCCCCACAACATCTTGAACTGTCACGAGCTCTAACTCCTGGACTGCCATCAAGGACTGCAGGATCTTCACGGCTCTCTGGGAGTCATTGCCCAGTTTGCAAATCACATAAACTGGGAAAGCGGCCCCTTCCTGGGGGCCCTGCTTCCCTTCCCGGATTGCTTCCCTTAAGAGTTTCAGGCTGTCTGCATCCCTCCGTTCCAAATGTTTCAAAGGGATGTGTAGGGCATGAGACAAACGACAGATGTCCACCTCCACCTGAGGCCTAACGTCTAGCAAGAGGTGGGGTGAGCCGGAATCCAGAAGTCGCTTATAGTCGGTGACCGAAACTCGCTCCTCTGGGCTCAGCAACTGCAGACCGCGGCACTTGTCGGTGGCTGAGGAGCCACAGAAGGCTTCGTAGTCCTGCAGCGCAGTCACCGTGGGGCGCTCCCCACAAGCTGCACAGTGGGGCCTGCGGCCCCGAAGCTGAATACAACGAAAACGTCCTTTGAGCGCGTCAAAGATCAACAGGCTGCCGCTGTAAGACGGGCCCAGCCCCGCGGCGATCTTCAACACTTCCAGCGCCTGCAAGCAGCCCAGGACCCCAGTTACGACACCGAGCACCCCGCCATCCGCGCAGTTGGTCACCGTCTCCGCTGGAGGTGGCTGAGGGAAGACGCAGCGATAGCAGGGCCCGCCGCCATAGTGGTAGACCGTGATCTGGCCCTCAAAGCGCAGGGCGCTGGCCGACACCAGAGGCCGGCCGGCGAGCACACATGCGTCATTAACCAGGTAGCGCGTGGGCACGTTGTCAGAGCAGTCGGCCACCACGTCATAGCGGCGGACTAAGTCCAGCGCCGTGGCTGGCGTGAGCGCCTCCGCATAAGGCACGCACTCCACCGCCGAATTGAGGCGGCGCAGCGAGGCGGCGGCCGAAAAGACCTTGGCCTGCCCGGTCAGTGCCTCGCCATGCAGCACCTGGCGGGCCAGATTGCTCATTTCTACTAAGTCGTAGTCCACAAGGCCAAGGCGGCCGACGCCGGCCGCTGCCAGGTACTGCGCCAGCGGGCAGCCGAGCCCCCCGCAGCCCACCACCAGCACCGATGCGGCGGCCAGACGCAGCTGTCCCTGCACGCCCAGCTCGGGGAGCACCAACTGCCGGCTATAGCGCAAAATCTCATCTCGAGACAGCGACGCCTTCGGCGGCAGGGGTGATACCGAAACCAGCCGCTGGGGCTCCTGCTCCGCCATAGTTGCCGCCGCCAGCTTCTGCTTCAGGAAACTCAGCTCCTCCTCACGCTCGGCAACTTGAGCCCGCAAGGCGAGTACCTCCTCCCGGGAAGCCATGGCGCTCCCTCCCGGAAGTTGTCTTGAAAGGCATTTCCGCTTCCGGCTTGCCGTCTCCTAGCGACCGGAACAAACTAAACAATTTTACGGAGCTTGGGAAAAAGTGATAACTAGACATGTACTGCCTGAAGAAGCGCTACGATTCAACTTCAAAGATTTATAGTTCCTGGATATCTCCAAAGGAGCCATGAAGAGAGCCTTAGGCGAACTAGAACCTAACCACATGGACTGCCCCCCCTTCCCGACTTTGGTACGGTCCGACCCGTCCCCTTCCCGCGCCACGTTGACGTCATTCCGCTTCCGGCGTCTCGCGCAGTTCCGCCATGGCCTCCGAGGAAGCGAGCGGCGGCCCTCGTAGGTCTCGGCGGGAGCCGGAGGGGCGCGTCTCGCGCGGGGACAAGTATTCGGTGCTTTTGCCCACTTACAACGAGCGCGAGAACCTGCCGCTCATCGTGTGGCTGCTGGTGAAAAGCTTCTCCGAGAGGTAGCGTGCCCTGCTGCCCTCCCTGAGGAATGAGATGAGCTGGCTTCGCCGGCCTGGGTGTCGGCGGTTGGCTGCGCGAGGCGTCCCTGCGCGGCGTCCCTCCGGCTCTGGAGGGACGCCGCGGGGGAAAAGCCACCCTTCGAGAAAGCGGCGGCGGATGCTTCGGGGGTTGTCTTCGTGTCTCGGGTTCTCATTCTTGCCCTTGGGTTTTACGAGACGTTCCTTTTATCGTACGCTCCCGCCATCTCACCCCCCACCCCACCCTCCCGGTTGTTTTTTTCTTAGGAGCGTCGTCCACCTCTTCCCTCGGGGCGAGGCTGAAGGCCTGACCTCCCTCCTACTTGGGACGGTCAGGATGCGGCAGGAGCCGGGAGTCTAACCGAGCACGCTCGCTCCCGCCCCCGTGCTGAGTGCTTATGTAAGCATGAGGTTTGATCTCCGTGGGTTAGGGAGCTGCCGCCGGGCCAGGCCGCTTCGGTGGTCACTCGTGGGTGATCGATGTGGTTGTTAGAAACTGGGGTTTTTAGAGATTGAATCTGAAAGCGTTCTACGACATTTTTAAAATTTCGGAAAATCCTGCTGTCAGTATGAAGTGCCTTGTTTTAGCGTTAGACCAGTGGGATCGCGTGTAGATTCCTGAACATCTGTCTATATCAACACATGCGAACCTAGAAAATTAATTTCGAAATTTAAGTACCATTTCATGGCTGTGTAAGAATTTAACCAAGTCTTCTCCGTGAACACAGGTTATTTCTAATGCTTTCTTGTTTTTCTTCTTTAAGCTCTCTTTTACAAATGAAAACAGGTACTTTGTTCACACCATTTTGTCCAGTATTTAGAAGAGCGCTTGACGCACACTGAATGCTCCTTTATTAACGATTGTTGCCACAGACGTGCTGATAGTTTTACTAGTGTACTGGGGATAAAGTTTTCAGGGTGGAATTGCTGGGTCAATTGATGTGCTTAAAATTGACAGTTATTCCCTCCCCTGCTTGCAAGGTCGCGTGCTTCCCTCTCCCTCCCTCCCTCCCTCCCTCCCTCTCTCTCTCTCTCTCTCTCTCTCTCTCTCTCGGGGGAAAAAAAAAGTTTTGGGGGGAACTGGGAGGCTCAGTTGGTTGGGCATCTGACTTCAACCCAGGTCACGATCTCGCGGCTGGTGACTTCCAGCCCCATATCTTCCGACTCTCCCCCTCTCTCTGCCCCTCCTCTACTTTCTCTCTCTCTCTCTCTCACACACACACACACGCACACAAATAAAAATGAACAAATTGCTTGCAGAAAAACTGGTACTGCCTTAGGACTAGAATTATTTGGAGACTGCCTGTTTTCCTACCAACCAGCCAACCTGAGCTTTATTAAACTTACGTTGAAAATGCTAGTTGGTGAAAAAATTGCTGTTTTATTTTTAACTTATTCTATTTATTTTGAGAGAGAGAATCCCAAGCAGGCTGCACACTGTCAGCACAGGGCCCAAGGTGGGCTCAAACCCACCAACCATGAGATCATTACCTGAGTCGAAATCAACGGAGCCACCCAGGTGCCCCTGTAACTGTCTTAATGTACATGTCTCCTCAAAGTTTTTGTGTTCCTATCTTTTACTTTGGTTTCTACAAGCACTCTCCAAGTTAGAGAAATTATCTTACATAATTTCTTACATTATGTATCTTACATAGTTCATCTTGTTCATTTTGTCTTCGGATCTCAAATATATTTTGCTTTAATCAGTGATGTTTAATTAAAGGCAACTTAGCAGATTCCTTTAAACTACCTTACTCTCAGGTGTTCTGGGCACTTTGAAATGAGAGAAAGGAATAATTTGCTTGTGAATGACCTCTTTATGAAGTAAGATCTCTTTCAGCATATCAACTAGAATCAACATCTTACCCGTTTTGGCTTGTTAAGTACTAAGGCCCCTAGGGGAGCTGAAGTCTTAACAGACGGGCTGATTTTAGCTTTCTTCTTGGTTGTTGGGGCTGACTTTTGAAAGCCTTTTAACAGTAGAATGAATGTTTTCTGGTTGATTTTCTTACATGTGTTTATTAATACTGGACCAAGAGGAAGCAGTGTTGTAGCGGTTTGGTGTGCTTCCTTTACTTTGCCCTTAAGTTTCCCAATAAAGTTTAAAAAAAAAAATCAAAAAGGGGGGTGGAGGATGATGCAGTGACCACATGTACATCCAAGTATTGTGTTGGCTTGTTTTTAGAATAGAAACTATAACGTGAAGTTAGTGGAGAGCCAACAAAGATGTTAATTTTGAAGCACGTTGAAATCTTATGTAATTTTCTGTACTCTTTCTAATGATGTGAGATAATGGGTACAACTATTTGAAACTGGTGTAAAGATTATGTCACCATTTCAAAGAAGGTTTTTAACGGATGAAATGAAATCCTATTTGTTACTGATTATGCTATTTAAATCTTAACTTGGTATTAGATGTAAAAGAATAGTCACTTTAGGGTGGCTCAATTGGTTGTGGCCAACTCTTGATTTCTGTTCAGGTCATGATCTCATGGTTTGTATGTTAAGAGCCCTGCGTGGGGCTCTGTGGCTCCACTCTATGAGTGCTTGGAGACTGCTTGGGGTTCTCTGTCTCCCCCTCTCTCTGCTTCACGCCCCCATCCCAATGCACATGGTCTCTCTCAAGATAAGTAAAACATCAAAAATCAATAAAAGAATATTAATATTGCTGACTCAGCAACTCAGTCAACTTGAGATGTCTTTTTAAAAAATTTTACATTTATTTATTTATTTATTTGAGAGAGCACAAGTAGGGGAGAGACAGAGGAGGAGACACAGAATCTGAAACAGGTTCCAGGCACTGAGCTGTCAGCACAGAGCCAGACGTGGGGCTTGAACTCAAACTGTGAGATCATGACCTGAGCCAAAGTTGGACGCTTAACCAACTGAGCCACCCAGGCGCCCCTTGAGATATCTTTTAAATGTACTTTTGAAATATTTTTTTATAACTAAGACTTGATACTAAGGTTCTACAATCCCATTTTGAAACTAGGTAAATAAAATTTTATGATATCCTATAATGTATAATGAATGCATACATGATCGCTAGAGTTTTTAAAGTAAAGGGTGTTTTCTATTTGCGAATTTTTTAATATCACGGGACTTCATTGTAGCATTTTTTCCCACAGGATGCGGAGTTTGGAGGTGAAGTACTAAACGTTTGACATTTATTTCATTTGGTAATTGAAGTTTTCCTTGGTGATTAATATAACATAAACTCCCCCTTATATTGGTGAGGAATTAGTAATTTTAAAGTTACTTTTTAATTTGAGAGTATTGTCTCTGCAAACAAAACAAAAGTTTGTTTTTTGTTTTTTTTTTAACTTTAGTGGAATCAACTATGAAATTATAATCATAGATGATGGAAGCCCGGATGGAACAAGGGAAGTTGCTGAGCAGTTGGAGAAGATCTATGGGTCCGACACGATTGTGAGTCTTGTGAACATTTTTCTGTCACATCAGTTGTGTTTGTGTTGGGGAAAGATGAGACATGGCAGTGCTTAAAGTCAGTCTGTTTTTCTAGAAACAAATGAAAAAGAACATCTTGTTTGGGGTTTTACATGTCACTGATAAATTGGGTCAGTAGCAATTTTACAGCAAAATAGTGAGCCTTCAGGTAAACTCTGTTTTTACAACTAACACTGCAGATAAATTTTCTCGAAGGGCAAAATTAAAGCATGATACTGACAGGAACATTAATGGGACTAGATTGCAGTTAGTAACGTGTGATCTTTCTTGCTCCCTTTTTTTGCAACTATAAAAGCCTGTAGCTGGGGAACGTGATTGTTTTCGTGTGAAATTGGCATCTTTGTATTTTTTAGAGTACTTGGCATCTTTCATTTTATCTATAGGACAGTCTTCTGGGAGTAGATTGACACTCTGAGTCTTAAACTTTATAGTTTCCTACTGTACTTTGAAGGGTGTTCTTTATCTTTTCTTTTTTTTAATAGCTTATTGTCAAGTTGGTTTCCATATAACACCCAGTGCTCATCCCCACAAGTAAGGGTGTTGTTTTTCTACTGGAGTAACTTAGATGTAGAATTCATTTTTATAACAACTTTATAATTTTTATTACTTAAAAAATTTGTAATGTTAATTTTGGAGAGAGAGAAGTAGAGTGCAAGCAGGGGAGGGGCAGAGAGAATCTGAAGCAGGCTCCAGGCTCCAAGCTGTCAGCACAGAGCCTGACGGGCAGGGCTCCAACTCAGGAACCTGGAGATCACGATCTGAGCCAAAGTCAGACGCTTAACTGACTGAGCCACCCAGGTGCCCCTACAATTTTTATTTTTGATCACTGGTTTATTTCCATAATGGTTTTTATTCATAAATGTTTGAATATACTTGTGAGCTCTGCTTTGGGTAATTTTTGGGTCCAAGCTGACCATTGAATCCAGATTTAAACACATTCTAAGCATTGGGTGTTTTAGAATTTGTATAGACCAAAGTTTCTCAGTCTTGGCACAGTTGACATTGGGACCTAATAATTCTCAGCTGTGGGGGGCTGTCCTGTATGTTATAGGACATTTAGCATCATCCCTGGACTCCATCCACTAGCAGCCCCTCTCCCCAGTGTGGCCACCAAAAATGTCTGTGGGTATCATCAGCTGACCTCTTGTGGGCAAAACTGTCTGCTCTCCCAAAGGAGAACCATTGGTATAGATATAAAGGAAGAAGTCTCTTGGAGAACCTTTATTGACGGTGTCGTCTTAAGAAATAGCAATTAAGCATTATAAACAACTGTCACAGGGTGCATACGTTGGAGGAGATGGTGGTTGATGGGAAGCATTAGGAGAACGTGTTACTTTTTTTTTTTTTAATGTTTTTTATTTATTTCTAGGAGAGAGAGAGAGACAGCGTGAGCAGGGGAGGGTCAGAGAGAGAGGGAGTCACAGACTGAAACAGGCTTCAGGCTCTGAGCTGGGAGTCAGCACAGAGCCCGACGCGGGGCTCGAACCCATGAACCGCGAGATCATGACCTAAGTGAAAGTTGGACGCTTAACCAACTAAGCCACCCAGGTGCCCCAGAACGTGTTACTCTTATACGTACAGGAAATCTTTTCTAGACTAGTCATTTTTTTTCCATGTCATGCATGGGCAACTCAGAGGTCTGTCACATCTCCAGTCCTCCCTCTGATGTACAGGCGTACAGGGAGAAATTAAAAGTTGACAGATTTCCAGCCTTCTACTAGTGACTTCTGATGATGCTGGCTTTATTGTTTTGGCCACAGTTCCCAATTTTCTTTTACAAGTGCTGGGCCAAGGCCACTAAATCACGTTTGTTATATGTAGAATACTGAGGTAGGCAATTCTATTTAAGCCAAGAATATCAACCTGACAATATTTTGAATACTTTTGTCATAGAACTTCAGCCTTGAGGTATAATGGTATGATAATCTTAGGGTATGTACTAAATTGATCTTCTCAAATTCTAAAACGATATGGCCCTCAAAGAGTTCCATTTTTCCCATTAACCAATAAAATTCAAAATAATGAGAAAAAAACTGCATTTATCATTATGATTTTCTTGTAGTACCAGGGAAATCCCATTCCTTGGTTATTTTATGACCTTCAAGTCATTTAAACTAAAAAAAATTGCCTTCCCCCCTCTCCCAAATAGTATCAGGTCATGCCAGAGGCGGCCCTTCTTGCTTTCAAGTGACACGTATGTTCACTTGGGAGAGAAGATGGAGAAAGATTATTCTTGATGCTATCTTAAAATATCTCAAAGTATTAAGCACCAGATGCTTTGTTTGGTGGTCTTTTCAAAGTAGCTGGAATGAATGTTTCAGAAAACGAAGGAAGTTTTTTTTTTAAACTGTGTATGTGAGGAAACCGAAATAAGAGGTTAAGTCACTTCCAATGTCAAATAGCTAATAAATAGCAGAGGTGGGACCGTACAAAAGCTGGAGGCACATATCCTGAACTGTTAATAATGGTTATAGGTCAGGGAGATCTGAGATTATGGAGGGCTTCAACCTGTTTCTGTTGAGTACTTACATAACGTTTCATTTATGTTATCTGTTTCAGTCTCCAACTTGAGGTCAGATTACATCACCTACATTTTATAGTTTAGTATTTTTACAAATTGTTCTGATAATGTAATGCATGTTCATTACTTTTAAAACCTCAAATACAACAGGATCGAGAAGTTTGACTACTTAAAAATACCAAAATATAATTTCTGATAAAAATCAGTGTTGTAATCGGATGTACAAAAACATAATTCATAAGAACTGTAAATTGCCAAAAATGAAAACAATAAAATGAAAAAATGGGAGCCTTACTGATAGAGAGGAATTGCAAAACAGGAGGAAAGTACAATGTTAGCCTTTTTTTTTTTTTCATGTTTGTTTATTTTGAGAGAGTGAGACAGGGTGCAAGTGTGGAAGGGGCAGAGAGAGAGGGAGACAACAGAATCCAAAGCAGGCTCCGGGCTCTGTGCTGTTGGGGCTGGAACTAAAACCGTGAGATCGTGACCTGAGCCGAAGTTGGACACTTAACCAACTAAGCCACCCAGGCGCCCCTACAATTAGCCTTTCTTAGCTAAAGATTTATTTTTATTATGGTAAAAAAAAATGATCCTAGTTTTTCTAAAATGTCATCAAGGTTTTCTATGATAAAAATTTTTTAGGAAATGAGTTCCCAAATCATAGCAACACAGGAAGTCTCTTATAAGCAGTTGTGGTAAGCATTCATCAGAGTATGTGGCTGGCACTCTTGCACGTACACTGGTCCTGATGGCTGTGAGATGAGCTCTGTCGTGCCCTTCGCTGCTGTAAGCCATCATTGATGTGAGCGGGCCGAAAAGGGAGGAGGGGGAATTAAGGATTTGAAAGTAAAGCACACTAAATGAAACCACATGAGCTTTTATTACATAAGAAATGAAAAACTACATTATTGTTGTCAAATGAAAAAGTTAGTGATGAAACTGAAGTTGCCATTGATGAGCCTCCTGGGCCCTTCTCCAGGGGAGAGACCTCTGTCAGCAGTTGGGTGTGGGTGGCCCCAAACCTTCGTGCATGTATGTGTATGGGTCTACGTTTGGAGAACTGGGTAAGGTGGTGGTTTTGTTTTTTTAATGTGAATGTAATCTTCTTCATTCTGTTGGTTTGTAATTATAACTTGAAGATCTTTTATCACTAAATTCTCTCATTTTTCTAACTGTACCACAGCATTCTTTCATATGCAGCATGGTTTCTGTTTTATAAACACTACTTTTCCAGCAGAAACATAGGATTATAAAAGATCTAAGGTGAACTGTATTTTAATGTTCACTTATTTTTGAGAGACAGAGAGTGAGTGGGGGAGGGGCAAAGAGAGAGGGAGACACAGAATCGGAAGCAGGCTCCAGTCTCTGAGCTGTTAGCACAGAGCCCGACACGGGGCTCAAACTCCTGAACGGGGAGATCATGACCTGAGCTGAAGTCGGACGTCTAACTGACTAAGCCCCCCAGGTGACTTTAAAGAATTTGTATTTTTTCAGGGCAGATACCAGGTCAGTATTTTGTCAGTAACTGTCAATTATGAAGTCAAAGAAAACCTGACATATCTTGTTTGATTTTGTTCAGTAAATTTAATTACTATATGTGATTGAATGTCTAGATCTTTAAGAGCTCATCAGGCAGAAGTGTATTTTATCTTTGTCCATCTCGCCCCCCCCCACACACACACCCCCACCCCAGACCTGCCTGCACTTTGCATGTAGTAAAGTGTGTTACAGTCTGTCCTGGTTGAATTGAGCTGAAAATACTTGAGTTAGAGATTTGCAGTCTGAGGCAGCCTGCTTATGGACTGGCATATGCAGAAGCGGACAAGATAGGCTCGGTAGTGAGTCTGTTTGAGCTCTGTAAGAAACAATAAGAAAAGAAAGAATTTAATTTTTTTGTTAGGAATATAACCCGAGGGGCATCTGGGTGGCCCAGTTGATTAAGCGTCCAACTCTGGGTTTTGGCTCGGGTCATGATCTTGCGGTTTGTGAGTTTGAGCCTCACAGCAGGCTCTCTCCTGTCAGCACAGAGCCCATTCTGGATCCTCCTTCGCCCTTTCAGTCTGCCCATTCCCCACCAGTAGAGAATGTAATGAGGTCATCCAAGGATAAAGTCAGGTAAGTTGATGGAGTTCCCACGTCAGCATTTAAGATCCTAAAAGGAGTTCAAAGAAAGAAGTATGAATGCACTTTCAGCCAGTGATTCAACTTCTAGAATGTTAAGTACAGAAGTAACCGCACCTTGGGGCAGCTGGGTGGCTCAGTCAGTTAAGCATCTGACTCTTGATCTCCTCTCAGGTCATGATCTCATGGTTCGTGAGATCAAGTCCCATGTCAGGCTCAGTGCTGATGGCATGGAGCCTGCTTGGGATTCTCTCTGCCCCTTCCCCATGCATTCTTGCTCTGGTGTGCTCTCTTAAATAAACAAACCAGCTTTATATTAATAAAAGACAGGACCTGTAAAAAAGGATGTATGTGCAAATATCTTTAATGTTTGTAACGGCAGATACCTGGGACTGACCTGAGTACTGTTAAATAATGAATGACCGTATATTGTCTAATTTGTTATCTTAAGCCTGTATTTGTAATTGAAAAATAAAAATGAAAAAATCAAGAACTAAAAACTAAATCTTAAAAATCACAAAAGGAATTGGGAAAACAAATGTGGTTATTTAAGTATTCCAGGAAGAAATGGAGTAAGTGAGTTAAATCCTCAGTTTTCCTAGGCGAAGGAATCAGTAGATGTTCAAAATGATCAAACAAGTAATAGATATAACATTGTTTACGTACTGTTTTCTGGTGGGAAAAAAATGTGTTACACTTGGCCTGTAGCGTTCGGGTGAAATTTTCCAAGCTGTTAAGCTATTTGATTTGTTACTAAATGCTAAACACTTTTTCACTTTGGCAAAAACTGTTAAGTATGTTCTGCTTTTAAGGTCTAATATGGGGAACTATGTTTCTGTTAAAAAGGGTTAAGTACCTATAAAAAATAATTTTTTTAATATTTTTATTTATTTCTAGGAGAGAGAGAGAGACAGCATGAGCAGGGGAGGGTCAGAGAGAGAGGGAGTCACAGACTGAAACAGGCCCCAGGCTCTGAGCTGGCAGTCAGCACAGAGCCCGACGCGGGGCTCGAACCCACGAATGGCGAGATCATGACCTAAGCGAAAGTCAGACGCTTAACCGACTAAGCCACCCAGGCACCCCAAGTACCTATAAAAAATAATTTTTAATAGTCAGGGTTTTTTATTATTTGTGTTAAAATGCCGTTTCTAATTCTTGCAGCTTCTAAGACCACGGGAGAAAAAGTTAGGACTGGGTAAGTATAACCTCTCACCCCTCATACCTGCTCCTTGCCATGTAAGGTGATCCAGTGTGTATTTTCCCAGTTTGGAACAGGGCCAAAACACCGTGTCCTCCTGTGATGGCTTTTCATGATCTTAATGATATTTAAATGGTTTAACCTGCATTGCCTGTAGCCGTCCAGGCCCACTTGGGAAAACAGAAACCACCGTCAGTCTTTCAATATAGGGAATTTAATACAAAGACTCTGGTTACACAGGTGAAGGAATGCTGAGAAGCCAAATGGAGCAGGGAAGCTACCAGACTAGTAATAGCTAGTGGTTGCTACCACCCCTCGAATGAAGCGACAATAGGACATGGTGCTATTGGAGCCCCGGAACCCCAGGTTACTCAGAAGGGTTTAGAATAATGGAGTGGGGGATACCCAGTCAGTGCTGCGATGCGGCGCAAGAGTGGGGACACAGACGGTTCCTTTTCTCTCTCTTGGCAACTCGCCCCTGGTGTCTCCCAAAGCTGTTTGGCTGCCAGTTGACGAGAGCACTTGGGAGCTGTAGTTCCATGCAGTGTAGGACAGAGAAGGGATCCCAGAGCAGATGTGTTGGACCAGCACACCCCCTTAGCTCTCAGTCTTTGGATATTTATTTGTAAGTTGTAAACAGTTATTCTTTTTTTTTTTTTTTTTTTAAAGTTTTCCAGTGTTTAATTACAGGAGGTCATAGAAAATCTCAGATGAACTTCGTCCTTCCGAGATGAATATCTGAATGCCTTTATTTCTTTTCTTTTGGTTACAGTTGCTTATATTGAGAAATAATAATTTTATTAAAAAATCGAGGGAGCATGGAGGAAACACAGTTCTTTTTTTGTTGTTGTTTTTTAATGTTTATTTTATTTATATTAGAGAACGAGAGAGAGAACACAAGCAGGGGAGGGGCAGAAAGAGAGGGAGACACTGAAGCCAAAGCAGGCTCCAGGCTCTGAGCTATCAGCACAGATCCCTCAGGGCTCAAACTCACGAACTGTGACCTGAAGTCGGATGCCTAACCAACTGAGCCCCCCAAGGATCTTGGAAGCAGTTCTTAAAAATTAAGTATTTGCTGTCTTGAAGACCGTCAGTTCTCTGGCATCATCAAGTATCTGAATATCTGAACCCAGAAGTTCTTTGAGAAACTGGAATAATCTGGAAAGTGCCATGAAAGCAACCAGGAATTACCAGTCAGTAGACATCCAAAAAGCTGTGTGAGCATCACTTTCTAGCAAAAGAAGTTAGAACTGAGTTCAGCCTTGGGGCACGTGGGTGGCTTAGTTGGTTAAACATCTGGCTTCAGCTCAGGTCGTGATCTCAGGGTTCATGAGTTGCAGCCCTGCATTGGGCTCTCTGCTATCGGTGCAGAGCCTGCTTCAAATCCTTTGTCTCATTCCCTCTCTGTCCCTCCCCGACTCATGCGAGCGCTTTCTCAAACAAATATTTAGAAGAATTTGGCCTTGCTAATAAGGTATTGTGGTGGTTTGAACCTAGAGAATGCAGGAATCCTCAGATCCCAGTTTACCCTTACTTGCCAGGTCTGTAGGGAACTTTCAGGCATAATTGCTGGCTGTGCCTTTGTCCCCACATACCAGACCAGGGCTCTAGTGTATCAGGCTTACAGTGTAGAAAACACTTCGTAGGTTTTGTGGAGATGGGCCAGGAGTGAGGACGCCAGGAGAGGTGGGGAAGAGTGGAAGCAGGCAGTACTCATGTAGGGACCCAGGCATTGGAAGATGCTGCCTGGGACCAAGGTGAAGTTGGAGAGGAAAGAATGGAATCGAGAGATGTTTTTTATTTTGAATAAATAGGATTTAACGATAGCTTAGTTTTACCTTTGGAGGACTGATGTATGCTTTTCAGATGCTTGATTTAATTTCTTGCCTGTTCACAAGTTTGCTTAAGCATTTCTGGTGATTAATGGGTGTATTTTCATATTTAGGAACTGCATATGTTCATGGAATGAAACATGCCACAGGAAACTACATAATAATTATGGATGCTGATCTCTCACACCATGTAAGTGGTATTTTTTTTTATTAGCTATTCATGATAGTTTAAGCCTATTTTACTGACTTAATGTTTATTTTTTCTAAATTTCAGCCAAAATTTATTCCTGAATTCATTAGGTACGTATTTCTAATCTTTGAAAAAATTATAATTCAAATGATTTATCTTATGCTGATTTTGGAATTGTTTTTACTTTTTTCATTCTTTACTAATTAAAACTACACATGCTATTTTAAGTTTGCTGTCAGAATTGATAACAACATATAGATCTGAGGCGCATGACTATAGATAAGTGACTAAGTGATATACTTTAGGAACTGATCAGCAGATAATTCCTTCGTTATCTAAATCCTTCCAGAATATGGGAAAAGATGGAAAGTGACTTTGTTAAATGGAATTAAGCTCTGCATCCTAAGGGTAAAACACCATGAGCAAACGGATTATTCCAAGAATGCCAGAATAGTTCATCCTCAGGAATTCATCAACATAATTTATCACATTAACAAAGCATGATTAAGTCTATAGAAGCTGAAAGGTACTTGTTAAACTGCCTCAGCCATTCATTTTCTAATAAAAACTTAAAAGTAGAAATAAAAGGAAACCACTTGAACTTGATAAAGAAAACCCAGTCCTAACACTTACATCTTACTAAATGGTGAAATGTTGAATCCTTCATAAATGCATCAAGATAGGCATACCAGCTGTCATTAACGTGGACATTTCAAGTGATATATTAACAAGTATGTAGTATAAGTATTAATAAAGGATACAAAGTTGTGCTTATTTGCAGGCAGTATAGTTGCATTTTTTAGAAAATCCAAGACAACATGATACCCCTCAGAATAAGAACGTGGAAGCTGTTCTCAGTGTAAGCCAAATGTACTAAAGCAAAATTAGGTAATGTTTCTCCCGTTGAGATCGCTTCAGGAAGTTCCCATTAACACATGGGAGGAAACTGATCTTTTCTTTGCCCTTTAGATTGCTGTGTCATGTGGCCCCTGTCCCGTCTCCTTTGCCTAAAATGCTCTCTCCCTTCTCCTTAATAGTGAACTACTTCTCATCCTTTGATCTCTGCATAAAGTCACTTCAGAGATACCTTCTCTGTGGTTGTATCTAATACCCCAAAGCCCCTTTGACCTGAGAAGGAAATGAAACCAGAGAACTAGAAAGTTTGTGAAAGACAGAAATAGGCCATCTGTAGAAGAAAGCCCAAAGGCTAATAGACCCAAGAGAAGATACCCTGGGATGTTGTCAGGGAAATGCAAGTGAAATAACTGTGGAAGTATTTTATGACCCATTAGTTCGTCATAATTACAAGCTTAAAGAGCAGCACATCTAGCACCAGTAAGATGGTGGGAGGTGGGCACAAATATCGCTGGAGGAAATGTGAGTTGCTACAATCTTTTTGGAGAGTAATTCCTGGTGATATCTGTTAAAAATACTCAGAAGCTTTGTTTTAGCATATCTGTTATGTTCCCATTTATAAGAATGTTGCTACACTTCATTGTGGTTGTGTTGTTGGGGGTGGGGAAGCCCATCATGAAAACAACCGTGTAAGTATGTGGGTTCAGTGTTCTGTGGGACATTTTTGCAGCTATTGGAAAGAATGGGGAAATTCTCTGTTGACCTGCAGGGATGTCCGTGGTTCCATTGTATATATTGTTAATTGACACAATTAACAAAAAGTTGCAAAGTGTACTTTTTTGGGTTCCAATTTTGTTAAAGCAACCAGAAAGCCTGGAGTTCGTGTGTCTTATCTTTCTGCAAAGAGAAAGGTCTGGAGGGTTACCAGACTGTTTTAGCACTGTTTACTTCATGGGACCAAGAACAGAATGAAGGAAGATTACATTTTAGTATGGTTTCACCTGGTCCAATCAGCAAGTACAATTGTTTTAGTTTTAGAAGTTAACAGAGGGGAAAAAATCAGAATTGAAAATATTACATTGAAAGATTTCATTATTTTCCTGTGTAAGTCTTAAAAGTTCTTTTTGTGTAACTCATGAAAATAGTTACTGAAAGCTCAATAACTTTTTCTAACTCACAGCTAACTTTCTTTTCTGTAGGAAGCAGAAGGAGGGTAATTTTGACATTGTCTCTGGAACTCGCTACAAAGGAAAGGGAGGTGTATATGGCTGGGATTTGAAAAGAAAAATAATCAGGTATGGACATGTGCAGTGGTTTGTCTCATTTTTAGTGTAATTGGACATGTGTTTGTAACAGGTATTTGGATTAAATCACCATGCTGCCTTGGTATTTCTGGGACTAGATAGTTACCTAACACACACACACACACACACACACACACACACACACTCCCTCTCTCTCTGTCTCTTTCAGACAGAGAGGGAAATTTCTGTATATACATATATACGTATATGTATGTATATATTTTTATGAGTGTGTGTATATATATATATGTACGTGTGTGTATATATATATGTATGTGTGTGTATATATATATATATGTGTGTGTGTGTATATATATATATTGGCAGGGGGTCGTGTAAACTATGTCCTGGAATTTTTTTGCTGTCCATTACATATATATGTAATCATTTTAAATAAATACAGACACTTCATGATTCAGCTATTACTAAGCAAAAGTAGTAAGGCTTTGGAGTCAGACCTGGGTTAAAATCCTGATTGTGTCATTTAATCCCTTTGTCACCTAGATACTGTACTTTTTCTAGCCTTACTTCCCTCATCATAAAATGGAAACAGAACACTGTTTCAGTTTTCTGGTACTATATAACAAACTGTGTCAAAGCTTAGTGACTTCAAACAACTATTATTTCTCCTGATTCTGTGACTTGGCTGATGGTTCCTCTGCTGGCTTCACCTGGGCTCATTCTTGCAGCTGCTTCGGCTGGAGGGTCAACTAGGCTGAAAGATCCAAGGTGGCTGCATTCACGTATACAGTAGTTGGGGCTGGTTGTTGTCTGGGGCATCTCACTTGGCACCTTCTGGAAAGCTTGACCAGTATCTTCACATGGCATCCTGAGAGCAGCATCCACGAGTCCCAAGGCTGCAGCAGCAAGGCCTCCTGAGTCCTAGGCTCTGGAGCGAACAGCATGCTCTTTTGGTCAAAGCAAGCCCATAATCAAGGGGTGAGGAAGGAGAATCCACTTCTTGCTGGTCTTCACCCACAAGGAATTTGTGACCATATTTATCCTACACCTTTTTGTGGTGGTTGGGAAGATGAGATCTGTTTCATCTCTAAAGGATCTGTATAGCTTACTGTGTCGTACGTGACAACATAACTATACAAATTCTTACTAACACTAGTATTCTTCGTCACCCTTTCCATTCCTATTGAAGATTCTGTTAGGTTAATCTTCATTCCTCCTCTTCATTGTGCAACCTTGGGCAAGTTATTTAAGACCCGTAAGACCTCAGCCTTCGGTGAAAGAAGGGGTTGGATAAAGCAGAGAGAAAATCCTGCACTGCTCTCCCGTCTGTTCTCCCTTTCTCTCTATGTGTGTGTGTGTGTGTGCGTGCGCACACACTGCAGACCATTTGAATGGATCTCCACAGGTGGGACAAAACCATCAGTAGTTTTCACAGGCTTTCCAGATGAGTCTGTTGTGCAGCCAACATTAAGAACAACAGATGAACGATCTCTCAGGCCTGTCTGAATTTGGTCAGCACAGCTCTTGTTTAAAATCAGGGAGTCCCGATCAGAAACGGTGCACAGCTTTTAGTTGGATCATTAAGTTACATGGAGTTGTAGTGTCATTACTTGTGAATATCTGCACTGGCTGAGTGTTTAAACTCCAGAAAAAGATTATGTAATCACTTGCCTGAGGTCTCATCTGTATGATCCAGAATTAGAATTTGAATTCAAGTCTGTCTCATTCTTGCTGCATATTTTAAAATCCTCATTAAAAAACCTATTATCTCGAGGGACACCCTGGTGGCTCAGTCAGTCAAGCGGCGACTCTTGATTTTGGCTCAGATCTTGACTTCACAGTTTGGGAGTTCAGGTCCTGGGTCAGGCTCTGCGCTGACAACACAGAACCTGCTTGGGATTCTCTGTCTCCCTCTCTCTCTGCCTTCCTCCACTTGCGCACTCGCTCTTGCATGTGTGCGCTCTCAAAAATAAACATTAAAGGGGCGCCTGAGTGGCTTAGTCGTTTAAGCGTCCAACTTTCGCTTAGGTCGTCTTGAGGTTCATGGGTTCGAGCCCCGCGTCGGCCTCTGTGCTGACTGCCAGCTCAGAGCCTGGAGCCTGTTTCAGTCTGTGACTCCTTCTCTCTCTGACCCACCCCTGCTCATGCTGTCTCTCTCTCCTAAGAATAAATTTAAAAAAATAAAAAAAATAAACATTAAAAAACACATTGGCTTGAATAGAGGTACAATACACATGTACATACACATACATACATATATTCATGCTTTCCTTTGATTAAACCCATCTTGGGGGAATAAACTATGGCCTAGAATTTTTTTGTTATCTATTAGAAGCAACTTGAAAGGGAAAATGGTTTTGAAATTAGCCATTATCCCATCCATATCCCTAACCATGTTATTTGTATAAAAATAATCTTTCCTAGGCAGGGCCTTGGTAATTACCTTGACTTTGGAGAGAAACTGTTCTTTCCAGTTTGCCCCAGAAAACTTTTTTTTTGAATTGGAGTTCACTAAAATAGCTGCAATAGAAAAGTCACTTTTTCCAAGAGCACTTTAGATCTTTTTGAAATGTTAATAGCAGCTATTAGTAATAGCTTGAAATTGATACTTAGTTGTGTTTGAAGCACACACCCTGTCACTGTTGTGTCTCTGCTAAAATTCATGTGTTAAAGTACCTTACCCCCAAAGTGTTGGTATTTGGAGGTGGGGCCTTTGGGAGGTAATTAACTATAGTGACCATGGGGCACTCATGGTGGGATCAGGGTCCTCTCAAGAGGAGACCAGAGAGCCTGGCTTCTCTTGCCGTCCTCCCCTCAGCACACAACATGAAGGCAGCCCTCTGTAAGCCAGGAAGAGGATTTTCTCCAGGAACCAAGTCTGCGGCACCTTGATCTTGGACTTCCCAGCCTTCAGAACTGTGAGAATAAACCTGTTTACGCCAGCCAGTCTGCGGTATTTAGTTATAGTGGCCCAAGTCGACTGACAGTCTCGGAATGAACCTTTGTTCTATTTTGACAGATTGCCAAAAACCAAAACCCTTTCCTACTTGTATACCTTCTTTAAAAAAAACCCAAAAGGTGCCACATTTATGCACACTGACCTGTTACCTGATTGAAACCCACGATCCCTTGTTGCTGCTTAGAATCTGAAAAGGATACTCCAAATCCCTAATCCCTTTTGCTGTCTGAGAGATGTTCATAATTCTAAATAATGACTGTTGGTAAATATGCAAGTTGAATTTAAAATACTACCTTTCTCACCTAAAATTTATTTACTATTATTTTTTTTAGTGTTTATTTTTTGAGAGAGAGAGAGTGTGAGTTGGGGGGGGCGGGCGGGTACAGAGAGAGAGGGAGACACAGAATCTGAAGCAGGCTCCAGGCCCCAAGCTTTCAGCACAGAGCCCAATGCGAGGCTCAAACCCACAAACTGTTGTAAGATCATGACTGGAGCTGAAGTTGGCTGCTTAACTGACTTAGCCACCCAGGAGCCTCCTTACCTAAAATTTAAAAGAATGATTGTTTTCTAGATCCTCTCTAAATGTCACATTCAAGGATAAAAGTCCCCATTTTCTGAAAAATGTGAATGTCACATCTTTAACTGACTAAACTTTTTATAAAATTAACTCTTTTTTTTAATGTTTATTTTTGAAAGAAGACGAGTGGGGTGGGGGGAGAGAGAGCGTGGAGAGCCCCATGTGGGGCTCGAACTCACGAACCATGAGATCATGATCTGAGCTGAAGTCCGATGCTTAACTGACTAAGCCACCCAGGCACCCCTATAAAATGGACATTTTTGTGAAATAGGGTTGTATTTATGAAATTTGTTTATCAGTTTTAGCACTCTAATCTTGATGTGTTTCTCTTATTTAGAAAATGTATTTTATAAAGAAAACCTGATTGTTTTATTTAACAGCCGTGGGGCCAATTTTATAACTCAGATTTTGCTCAGACCAGGAGCATCTGATTTAACAGGAAGTTTCAGGTACAGTAAAAACTTTTAATTTTATATTTTCTATATAAAATTTCTTGTAATACAATGGTTTATTTAGGAAACGCTTTTCATTTCTAACCCATTTTTGTTCTGGAACACACAAAGGCCGACTGAAGTTCTTCAAAGTTACTAATGAGGCCTGAGCATCTTCTTACAGAAAAATGTGTACTTTCGAAAGAGCATCCAGGGCAGGGCTTAGGGGCGTGCTTGTGCTCAAGTGGGGCGCCAGGGGGCCAGGGTGGCTACTCACTGCTGCTTCAGTGAACATTGATATCACTGGTGATGCACTCCAATAGCACCTCTTCCAGCAATTCTCTGCAACCTACATGAGTATTTATAGCACAGTCCACAGAAAAGTTTAAAGTCTTCAATATTCAGGTAGAGTGTTTTCAGTTACCTTGTTCTCCATATGCTTTCAGTTAAAAAAGAAGTCTCGTTTAAATAAAGCCTCCTGCCAGGTTGGGGGGCGGGTAGTGTGTGTTTCTGGGGGGTGTGCTGTGTGTTTAATTTTAGACCTGCAATCGTAGATGGACTGTCTTGTATGACCATCACATGGCTAAAGACTGCCACTTCTTCTGTCTCTGAAGCTAGATCTCTTTACTTTAGGGCCCAAACCTCATGCATTAGTTGATAATTTATATTACTTGATATTTGCTCCCTTCCATTAAATGTTGATTCTTTGGTTTTTTGTTAGAATTGACACACTAGGTTAAACCAGGTTAAGACAGGAACTTAGGCATCACACGATTGAGGCAGTCCTGGTTAAGATACAGCTATTACCGAGTAAGGTCACAGTTAGATATGTATAATGGGCCGAAGTGCAGCCCAACTTTAGATAGGCTGCAGGCCAAACGCATATCCCATCCGATGTATAAAGTTAAGACAGAGGAGCTGGGAAGTCCTGTAGGTGAACCCAGCCACTTTCTTCAGAAACTCTCCCGTAAGTCCCCTCAAAGGACTTCAGTTTATCCTAGGGAATTTATTTAGTAGATCTTGGGAAATAGAAACTGGTCATAGACACGTCTGAGGAAACATCTGTTAGTTACTGGGTTCATTCTTATCATCTGCTTTATATTGTGGATTCATCATCATCTGTCAACTCTATTGTTGTAATATTTGGAACAGTTTCTCTTTGTTCACCTTGAAAAATAAATTTTAAGAGAATTTGAAAACTAAAAATAGTGGGTGGTTCTGCTTCAAGTGATTCACTTTACCTTATTTTTGTAATTTCTGATAGTATGGTAGAAAAATAATTCCCTAAAAGAAACTGAGAACTCATTTTCAAAATTATTTTAAATTACTTACTGAATATTTCATGACCATTCTGGTTCAGGAAAGTCTATCATAATCATCAGCTGTGACTACTTTTCTGCATACAAATGGCTAGCGAAAGTCTTAGATTTTATAAATACCAGTGAACTTTCCAAAGATCAGGTTACACGTAGGCAAGTGTATTTACCTAGGTGTTCATGTATATTTTAATTTCTCACAGGTTATACCGAAAAGAAGTTCTACAGAAATTAGTAGAAAAATGTGTTTCTAAAGGCTATGTCTTCCAAATGGAGATGATCGTGCGGGCAAGACAGTTGAATTACACTATTGGCGAGGTAGGCAACCGATGGTAAATAGTCAGCTGTGTTCCTCACAAAGAAACAATGGGTTTAGACTTTTTATAATAAAAAGTTTAACTTTTACAACTACTAAATAAATGTGGAAGGCTTCCAATTGTTTGGAATGTCTGTGCACTAACGGATGAAAATTCATTTCACTTCCAAATTACATTTGACCTACTAAGATTTAAAACCTTAGTAGAAGGCAGCATTCTCTTTTAAAGAATGAAAAATTACTGGTAACTTGTTCCTCGTGCCTTTTCTTCCAACCACTCAGCATTGTGGGATGAGTGTGTTTGCTCCCTTTCCTCTTGCTATCGCCAAGAGCCACCCTAATGATGAATCCTTTTGCCGTTTCCTAGGAGTAAATGATGAGGACAGGAATATTTCCAGCTAGCTAGTGAGCTCTTAGGGAAGGCTCTCCTCATTTAACACTTAGGTTTTTATTCATAACAAGAAAATAGCTAACTAGAAGGCCATTTCTCCTGTGGAAGTTGGAAGATTTTTAACTTAACACTAAATTAGTGATAGATAAATGTAATGAACTACTGAAAAATTTTACTTTTGGAGTATAATTTTTTTTCTTGAAGTACAGGCTGAAACTTTGATAAAGCAGCTTAATATTCAGGATCAGTGCTTTCCAAAAAGTTGTAGAAATGGTTCATGTGAGCAATTTTTAGATAATGAAATGTTTAAAGATTTGGAGGTACACACAATTGCTATTAAGAATCCTCCACTTGTGAACTTACTTGAAGGACATTATCATAAGTTACATTTTATTTGTATTGTATTGTTGTATGCCTGCTATACTTCCTTTCTAATAGTTTTGAAGATGACTTAACTTTTTTTTTTTTTTTTAACTAGGTTCCAATATCATTCGTGGATCGTGTTTATGGTGAATCCAAGTTGGGAGGAAATGAAATAGTATCTTTCTTGAAAGGATTATTGACTCTCTTTGCTACTACATAAAAGAGTTATTCATTATACTTATCATGTTGATTCATTTAAACATAAAGGAAGCCTGGTTGCTGAGTTTTATAAAATGTACTGTTAGAGCATAAATCATAAGGTAAGGTAAATTTCATACAAACCTTTTTTCTGAGGAAACTACGTTTTATATGTCAAATTAAATTAGAAAAACAAGCAGTGTTCTCAGTTTTCATTTGCATTTTGCTGTATTAAGACTTATAAATAAATGTATTTGGGTTTATTTTTTCCCAGAAAATATTGTTTTCCTTAGAGTATGTGAGTGCAGAATTTCTTACATGGAGAAGATTTTAAAATATACAAAAACTGGATTCATAGCTCTTTGTGATAGTGTCAGAAGTAAGAAAAATGTTAATTTTGTTCATGAAATATATATGGCTGTTTCTGTATGAATGAACAAATAGACACCTCTGCCCCTTTTAAACAATGTATCAAATTTCTTAAACTAGGTAAAACTATATTCAGATCACAATTTTAGAATTTGGCTCTTTGTAGCTGTTGAATTGATGAAGCATTACATCTGTCAAAGCAAATCTATTTAAAATGCATACTGTGAATTGGAAACTTGACATCAGTTGATGGCTTAGCTTTTTTTTCCCTATCCTGAGCAATAGCTTCTATCAGTAAGAAAAAATACCGATGACATATTAAGGTATCGATATTTTAATGACTTTTAGGACTTAGCTGCTATAGTAATTTTTAAACATCTTACTAAGCTATAAGTGTTCTGCCAGTTAAATTGCAGATTAAGTTATACGCTAAAGCCAGCATGAATGTTCTGTGTACCTATCTTCTCTAAACTGGGTGTTACAAAAACGATAAATTTCTAACTGTAGCATAGCTTATGGAGCACATGGTAGGTATCTTTAATATTTGCAGGAAGGCAGACTTTGAGTGAATAAGCTCAGAAACAAGTCGACTTTCCAAATAAGGGGACATCTCTAAGTTTCTTAATGAATATGTTTATTGAACAGTATTCCTAATTACATTTTCCTGGCTTAATTTGGCTGCTAAAGAAATTTGAAATCTGATTTTTCCATTGCATTTCTAACAGATATTACCAGAAATTAATACCAGAACATAAAACCTTTGGTGTCATTTTGAACATTGCCTGTTCCCGTAGTTGAAACTATAGGACACATTCCAGTGGGGCCTCTGCTATTGCTTGTTTCCCTGTGTAGGCAGCCTGCGTGCTACAGACCCACCTTCCTTGGGGAAGTGACCTCTCTTGTCATTAATAACAGCTAGAAAGTTCATCACTGTTTGAAGTAAAATTAGTTTTAAGCTAACGAAATAGAAATATAATACTCTTTTTTTGTTGCTGAATATTTAGAATCTCTTCTGTTTTCATCTAACCCCCAAGTTTTATTGTCAACTATGCTGAGCAGAGATGGAGTAACTACTTCAGAGAACTCACTAGAGTCGATTGCTATCATTTTGCCTTTTTAATCTTTTTTGGTTCTTGTACCCCACAACCATTACAACATTGTCACTATTGGAATTTATAGTAAAGAAAGTATTTGAGCACTGAAGACTTTCATCACTTAGAAAATATTTAGAAAATCTGGACTATTTAGATCCATTTTTTTAGTAATTCTGATGACTTAAGCACTGAAATAGTCTCAAACATTTACATGTGAACCTAGCATCTCATTTTACTTTGTAAATTAGGCCAAGGATGAAATCCAGACCTTTTCCTTTTGTATTTGTATTGTCACTATGAAATCTAAGTACAGCTAAGAAAAACTAAACTTGGCGATAAAATTATTTTGCCTTTCATGGTAGGTTTTGCCTGTCTTCTGCAACATGTAATTAGGTTTTTCATCTCTGTTCCTCTAAGTCAAATGCTTTGGGGACAACCCCCCCCCTTTTTTTTTTAAATAACTTTTCTAGCTGTTGTTTTCCTTTGAAATACTGATTGGGCTCTCAAATTAATGGAATCCTGGGTTGGATGAAATGGCTTGTTTAACCCTGCTAACTGAAGTCTTAGACATTAAGCTGTATGTAGCCGCAATTTGTACTACTCTCAATTAAGTCAGGATCTTTGGGGGATGTTAAGTATGGTTTGAAACTATTTTAACTTGAAATCTAGAGAAACGGCCAAAGACCAGCGTACTTAGCCAACCTTAAGGACACAGGCCTGGTTACACCTTCCTGATGGGTGTAGCCATTACTCTTCGGCGTGTTTACCAGGGACAGAGTCTCAGCTGCACCTGCTCTAAAAGGTGGGTTCCAAACTGGTGAGATGATGTGTTGGTTGGGGTTGGCCTAAATGGAGAAGCCAGACTGTGGGGACCCTGAAACTACCGTTGGCGTGGTTATTGAGCATCTTGGGGCGGCCCATCGCCAACACCGTTTCTCACGTTTGGGCGTCACCGGTCCGGTGGCCTCGAAACGCAGGGGCCCCGTTGGTTTTCTTAAGGCCGGAGAGACCAGTCCGCCCATCGCCACCAGGGAAGGATGTCCAGCCCCAGGGCGGCAGCGGCCCCTGCCCGCCGAAGGGCCGGACCCGCGTGGGCCTGAGTCCTCTGCACTCGAGTGTGAAGCACGAGGCCCTCACACCTCATTTAAGGCAGGAAGCATCGCGCACGCCCGGCCAGGTGCCCCTGCCCTGCCCGCCGCCGCCGGCCCGGGGAGCGCAGGCCTCCCAGCACGTGGGGCCGCCGGGCGGCCCGCGCGCCCCCTCCCGCCAGATGTAGTCCAGGCCCAGCTGGGCCCGCGCAGGGATCCCCAGCGCGGCCACCTGACTGAGTGCAGGGCGTGCTGCGGCCCGCTGCTTGTGCCTCCGCCGCGGGCGCTGCGGCCGGAGGAAGGCGCCCGCCGTGCACACGGGCCCTGGAAAGCGCACTGCGGCCATTATTCGCGGCGCCTCCTAGTGGGTCAATGGCAAATCCTCTTGGTTCTCGCGAGAGCTCCCCCCCTCAGAGGGGATTATATAATTTCTTTGAGGTGGGGGTGCTGGGGCCACCCACACTCCAAAAAAGTTAGGTGCAAGCACAGGTGAGAGTGAGAGAGTTGTCCCTGGGGGGGCAAAGAGGGGAAGGGGTAAAGTCCCCCCCATGCCCCCCCTACTTAGCTGGACAATGAGTCCTCTTATGCTAATGAGGCATTTACGTCACTTCCGCTCTTTCTCGGCCGCCATTTTGGCTAGGGCAGGTTCGGGGACTCGCTCCGAGGCGCTTGTATTGTCTGCTGAGGGGAGACGCGGGATCAGCCCCCTCCCCCGCCCGTTGCCGCCGCCGCCTCCGCCGGCCCGGTCTCCCCTCCGCCGCCCGCCGGGATCCATGAGCTGAACTCCCACCCCCCCCGGCCGCCGCCATCTTGTGCCCCCTCCCCCTCCCGCGGGCAGCGCTAAGGGGGATTTTGGCGTCTCCTCAGACACAGCTCCCTCTCTCGGTCCCCGCTGCTGAGGAGCGAGAGGAGCGCGGCCGTCGCCGCCCGCCTGCCCGCGCCGGTGAAGCCGCCTCTCCCACACCCTCCGTCTCCTCCCTCCGCCCCTCCTTTGTCTGCACCGCTCGACGACGCTGCCGCCGCCGCCGCCCGCGCGGGGACTGGAGGGAGCCGCTCGCGCCGCCGCCGCCGCCCGCCGCTCTGCTGCGCCCGCCGCGCCCCCCGGCAGCAGCCGCGGCCGCGGCGCGAGCCGGAGCCCGCCGAGCCGGAGCGCGACGAGGCCCCGGGCGCGCCCTCGCCGCCACCGCCGTGCCGCCGCCATCCGCCCGCCGCCGCCGCCGCCGCCGCCGCCCGGCCCCCGAGCACGCCGGCCCCGCGCGCGCTTCGAGGCCGAGTCAAGGTAAGCCGCGGCGACCGCCGCGCGCCCACCCCGCCGCCCGGCCCCGCGGGCGCATTGTTGACCCCCCCCCCCCCCCCCCACACCCCCCCCCACCCACACCAACCCCCAACCACACGCGCTCGCCTCGGCGCGCTCCGGGGCTGACGGGGCGCCCGCCGCGCCGCGGACCGCTACCCGGGCTCGGCCGCGGGGTCCAGGCGCCTCCTCCTGCAGCCCGACCCCCCTTCCCCGCCCCGCGAGCCCGCCGCGGCCGGCCGCCCGCCTGGCCCCCCGGAGCCCGTGCCGCCGGTGGCATCTCCCTCCACCCCGCCCCCGGCAAGCCCCGGGCTGCCCCCCCATCCCTGGAACGAATCTCTTCTTCCCGCTTCCCCCCAGCAAACGAGCCCCCCCACGCACACCCCCAGTGCCTGGGACGAGCCTGCTGCCAGGTCTGCCCACCCTTAGCTGGGGGAGGGGGGACAGATTGGGGGGCGGGGAGCATGCATGGCACGGGAGTGGGGAAAGTCTTTGCCTCCGCCGTGCAACCCTTCCTCCCTAACGTGCCAGCCCCCTCGTACCCTAACCACGGAGTCCACCAACACCACCCCCTTTTCTCTCGGTCGCAGCTGCCTGGTCAGCACGACCTCTTCCGAGCGTTCGGCGCCCCAACTTTGTGATAAGGTGGTGGAAAAAAAAAAAAAAAAGAAATTCCGAGAGCTGCGAAAAGATTTATCATTTATTTTAATGCAATGAATGGGGAGGAGTTCTTTGAGCACCCTTTTATTCACCTCTTTTCTCTGGGCTGCCTGCCTGCCCTCCCCTCCCCCCCAACCTGGATGCCTGTCTGCTGGAAAAGGCGCGATTGCTTCTCTTCCTCTTCTGCGCGAGATCAGGCACTAAGGTCCTAATACCCCTTTTAGCTGCACATGTATTCGCTCGAAGTCTTCTTGGTGTTCTTGCATTCACCAGTTCCTCTGGACAGTTCTTGCCATAACCCCATTTCTCAGACAAAGGCTTAGGAGGTAACAAGAACCAAACTGTTTCCTGTGTTTGCCATTTTGATGTCCATTCTCACACACCCAGTTCCCATCCCTGATGTTTCTCGTGCCAGTGTCTTGAACCTTCAGAATGAAGAAAAAAAAAAAAGATCTCCTGGGTAGCTTGCTACAGTTTCTTTATAAATCTGCATTGTTGCTTCTGGTTTATGGCCACGAAGAAAATACCAGCCCCCACCCAAAATGCACCGCAGCCAAGTCGGCTAAAGGCGATGAGTGTTGGAGTCAGTAGGGGGCGCATTCCCTGCACTGGGTAAGGCTGCAGAGGGGGGAAGGGCCCCAGAACTGGAACAGGATGTGCTTCACAGCGCCTTCTACAGACCATGGGAAAATGGACCCAGCAAGACGCACTCTCGCACTCTTAGTTGGTGAGCTGACAGCAACATGGCGAAGGACTAAGTGAGTCAAGAGCGGTGATTTTATTTCTTTTTAAGAATCCACCCTGCATTTGAGAACTTCTTTTTACTTGTTCAAAACTGTTGACCCTGACAATCCACATTTGTTCTTGGCACTTCCTTGGTGCACAGATTTCCTGTTCTCTGGAGTTCTTCCACCTTAAGCTTTGAATGCGTCACCATGCCTTTCCAAGGTCAGATGGTAAAGGGGAAAGTTTAAAACCTGAGAGTAATGGGTTTGGGGGTATTGCCGATTACCTCCTTTCTTCGTGGCCCAAATCTTTCCAAGTCTTTGAGAGTTAAAAATCTTTCTTGAAACATGTTAGACTTCAGTGGGGGGTAGTACTTTTCATAAGCAGGTAGATGGGTGTCATGATTTGCAAAGCCTTGTTGGTAAACATCGAGCCCATGTTGAGTTCTTCATTGTCCAACTCAACAGAGTTGATTGCAAAATTTTGTTGCCTTCCAGCTTTGGACTTGTAATTGCCATTCATGATCTTCGGCAGCCAACCACCTTTGCAAAAAGTGTTGACACCGGTCTTCTGTGAGCACCCAGCTTTTTGGGGTGTGTTGATTTCTATAGATTTTACTCCTCTTGTTATTTCCATAGGTGTGAGATGCACAATGCGAAACCTAGGCCCCAGCTTTTGCACCATGATGCACAGGGTTGTACTTTTTGTACTGAACTGATAGGTGGCCTAGTGGTTATGCCCTGTACTACCATTTTGAGGATCTGGACTCCGTTCCTGCCTTGCTCTTTGGACCACATTGTCAATTCACACCGGTGGGTATATTCATTTTGGAGGGTGGGAACTGCAGCCACAGGGAGGCCACAGACTTCTTCCTCCTTGGTCACCACCAAAGCCAGCACTTCCAAAATTTCAGCCTAGCCACATTCCTCAAGGAACCGGTTAGAGCTGGTTGCAGTCCTGGGTTCTGAACAGAGAAATGACTTAATGGCTTGTTTAAGAGAAAATTTTTAAGTTGCTGTTATTGTTTTAATCATTTGCATTCTGCGCTCTTGTTATAATCTATGTTCTCAATTAGTTATTTCGATGACCAGTCTCAAGAGTTGCTAAGCTTCTATGAACCTTACAGATTCTCTGATCAGAACAGACCTTTCCATGAACGTGTACTTGCTACCAGTGACTGACAGGTGTTGTCCATATTCTGAGGGTACTTTAAGACTTTGTTGCAATTATTTTATATAGATACACCAGGGTAAATTTATGGGGAAATGAATGGATGCATTCTTCGATACATAGTTAATCACACAGTTAGGTGGGGCTTAAGGGAGAATTTTCCTTGAACATTTGCTACCAAGTAACATTTTGGTGAGTGAAAAGGAGGCACTTTGGTTCAGATATTCCATTCGGAGACTGACTTATATATTGTTTTTGCAATTTTTTAGTGACTTCAAGAATCAGATACTAAGTCTAAGTGGTATTACTTATCATTTTAAAAACTGCTCAGTATTTGTTAAACAGATATAACTCTGACCTGTACTTGGTCTTTGGTATATATTTATATGAGTTTTTTAAATGAGTAATTTGAAAACAACTTATTTGAGTGCATGTTTGAGGTGAAGTTTGTGAAGGTACTTTTGTTTGCTTTGGCAAATTATACATAAGATACAATGTTAACTGATGTCCTTAGTGGTAAATAGGCATTTTCCCCCTACAGGAAAACTTGCTGTGATCTCTTGGAAAGCATGTATTTTGCAGTTTCAAGGTTTCCTGGTTTTAGTAGTCAAATAAAAAGTGAAACAATTGGGCTTGAGAGCTGGAATTTAGGTAAACTATGAGGGTTTGTTAAAAGTACAGAAAAAAGAGCCTCCATAAACCAGAGGGTGGGGATGGGCATTCTGTTTCATTGAACTTGTAATAGAAATTCCTTCTTTATCTTGGCCCTTGTTGAAAATTTCCTGAAATTACCTTATTAGAGGCTGCTGTACATTAAACTGACTAAACCTTTGATTCTGGTTCTTAAAGTCTCTGTATGGAAAATTTAGGAGATTGGGCTTTGAATCTCTAAAGACTTCTGGCCCTGCCTATCTTGGAAGTCACTGGTTGTAAACATACCCACTGTGAATTTGTTTTGCTTAAATTTCTCTTTTTTTTCCTTAAACCAGAGTGCAGGAAAAGTTCTAATACTATTTATATTAAAATAAAACGTCACCATGTTGAACAGATTAAGTGTCAAGTAAGTTCACAATTATGTTTTTTTTTTTTGATGACCCAATCTCAAGAGTTGCTAAGCTTTTAAAAACTTGAAATATTCTCTGAATAGAATGGGCCTTTCCATGAACATGTAGTTGCTACCAAATAACCAGCTAATAGGCTTTTATCAAGTAAAAATGGCTTTTGATTTTTGTTATAAAGTAAATGCACATGTTTATTGTATTTGATTACTAAAAGTTAAATAAGGTCACTTTCCTTGTAACTATTCACAAAATTTGAAAAATAGCTACTGTATAGAATTTTTAGAATTTTAAAAATGTAGCGCTCTAGCAGTCTGTTGGTTCCTACCTTTAAGATGATGTACACAACGCTGGCTGCGTGTTTCATTGTGGAATTACTTTAATGAGGAAGATATAGCTGACCTGTTAAAAAGGAGCAAGTAGGGATCGATACTTGGGTAGAGAGAGACGAAATCAAAACCTCAGAATTTCAGTAGTAGTTTTTGTCTTTTGGGAACTATATGTAAGTCACAAAGATTGCATTAGTTGTAATAGACCTTGGCAGGATGAGTCCGTTAATTGGTGTGTGTGTACACATACACACAAAATATAACCTTTTTTAAAGTCGAAAATGACTGTCCTATTATTAAATACAAAGTCCATACATTAGAGATGTGGTTGGGAAACCGTACATTAACTAAGAAACAAATGAATTAGACATTGTGGGGTTTTTAGATAAACTTTTAAGAAATGTGAAAAGTACCAAAAAATGAAAAATTTTATAAGATTAGAAGCGAATTTATAGTTTTTTACCAAGATGCTCAATATTGTGTAATAATCTGCGTGTCCATCCTGGGCTTCTAAAGGACTTTCACTTTAAAGTCTGTTAGGTCTTCCAGAAGATAAAATACTTTCCATTGGGGGGTTTAACTTTCATTTATTTGCCTAAGAGGCATGAACATTAAAGTGTTGCTCCCCTACGTAAATAATTTAATTATGTTAGATTCACAGAGCCTGACATGTTCTGACCGTCATGCAAACTTACAAAGTTTTTCTTCCCCTTGTTTTCTAAGAGCTCCTGGCCTTGGGTCTGGAACAAATGCCTTGTTTTGCTGCTGTGGATCAGTGTCAGTCATAAAAAGCTACATTTTATGTCATTAGTTTGGAAGGCGTTTTAAAACGGGTGAGAAACAGCCCCACACTAACTGAATTGATAATTTTGAATGTAGAAGCCATTTCTTGTTTACTCATTGCCACTTTTCTGCCTTAATTGTTAAGATACTTTATGAAAGAAGCCATCCGTGTTTGGCCCAGCATGAGTGGCCACAATTCCATTGTGACTTTGTGATTTTTATATTGTTTGCCTCATCCTGTTAATTACAAAGTGAGAGGAAGGATGATGGTGCTCCCTCAGTCTCTCAGGGTCTTAGTACCCCTTAGATTTGTGTTTTGCTTGTGACCTACCTTTGATATCTGGCAGTTTAGGAGTCTGCTTAAATGAGAATCCATATTCTGCTTCACTGGAAGAAGGCTCTCCTCACGTGTTAATCAAGCGTCTCAAATTGGGATACATATGTATCAACTTGATTGTATTGTGATATGTATCTATCTCAGGAAGTCACGGATAAAATGTGAGCCAGCTGTGCAAAGGAACCATTTTGATTGAGGGTGCACATTTTCTCATCAGTGTAAAATGCTAAGTTCTTTTCATTCTTTTACTTCTGGATTCTCTTCTCTCTGTGTACACATTCACTGTCCTCTGCCTGTAGTTTTTTGAAGTGCGCTCACAAGCTTCCTTACCTGTATTGATCCCTAGCTTAGTTCTAACACACCAGCTAGAGATATATATCCATAATTTCAGCAGTGTTTCAGAAATGAATTATGAGAGCATAAATACTTTAGAGTTTACTAAGGGAAGACTGCCCTGAACATATACTGCAGTTTTAAGAGTCAAGTTTAAGGTTTAACTCAGAAGCGTGCACCTGATCTGTAGGAGACTCATGTATTGTTTGACTCTCCCTTAGAATTAAAAATAAATCCCTACACATCCTAACTCCCTCTCCAGTAGGGGTATAGATTGATAACTGAGTCACTTGGCTGCGGCTTGTTGCTGTTTATGTGTCACTTTTCACATGACGCGGTTGATGATTGTATTTTAGTAAGGGTGAGCTGTGAGTGTAAAGGCCTCTTTGCTGGCCTTCGTGGTATTAGAGTATTAATGGTCTGCCTGTTTCATTTGCCAGACACTGTGTGAAACCATTCTGAATTCTCTTGGGATTGTCTTTGTTTCACAAGTGGGGAAATCAAGGCACTGCGACATGTACTGATGAATGGGTTTGTGCCAGGCCTGTGCCTTGAACACAGGCTTTTCGAGGGTTCCCACGTGCTGTCTGGCTGATGGGGGCACACACCACTGCTTCATCACTTGGGAATGATGTCTTGTGCTTCTGTGTCCGTGAATAACCAAGGATCCTAAGTGGGCTTCACCAAGAGGCTGGCAAGAGCAGACTGGCGAAAATCGTGCCGGGGGGCCTGCGATTAATTGAAGTAGCCTGTGTCTGGTTTGGAGTTGCCTGTCCAAGGGTCTAAAAAGAGTTTGATTGTGGTCCTGTTGTTTTTTCCAGTGTTTTGGTTTAGGGCAGTCTTATTCCTTCTCTCCTCTGGGCAGTTATTTTTGCTTAGACAGATAATTGCTGGCTTTTGCCCTTCTGTCTTTCCTTTTTCTGAACGCTCTGTGCTCTGTTGAAGACTTTGTGGAAACCTTTGCTTCCCTGGAAAATCTGCATCTTTTTCTGGTGGGAACTGGCAACAGTTGAAAACCTGTATATAAGTGGTTTCTTTTTAAACCTGGTATATCTGAAAAAACTTCTATCTGGTGGAAATATAGAAAAATTCATTAAAATTTTAAGTTAGGGTTGTAAACACAAGTCAGCAGTTAGAATTCTTGCTCTTGTGAAAGGGGTGAACTGAGACTGGGAGTGTCTTATCCAGTGGGCTCAAAGTCCTGGTTCAGAATCAGGCTTAAAAACAACACCAAGGTAAAACTTCTCTGCAGAAAGTGTAAGGGTTGAGCCAGCAAGTGGCAAAGCCTGCTATGAGAATAATGCTTCTGCTACAAAGAAGGCTTTGCCTAAACATTGAGTCTCAGATAGCTTAGAAACACTTAAGGGGATTCAAGTAAATTCTTTTATTTGTGAATGAGGAGAAAACTACCTTTCCCTTACTCTGGGAAAATTAGAGAGTAGTTTTGATAGACCATGGAAATGTTACCATTAAGGGATTAAAAGTAACTGATTGATTGTCTTATGCCATTTAGTTGAGAAGACCAGGACATGTTACTGGAATGATTAAAAGTAGATGTACCTGGATGTCGTCTCAGGCCCACTTGTGAATTGAATTCCCTTGTTCACGCATCTATTAAGCCAGGTTGTCCACCTACCTCGACAGCAGCAGTTCTAAGCTGTGGGTTTCTTATGTAGGCACCCCAGTGTCGGAGTCATTCCCCATGGTGCGTCCCTGCCTGCTGGGCTGCCTATTTAAAACCCAGTAAATGGGGAAATCCACCCCGTCTCATACTCTTTAAAGTTAGATTACGGTGTGAGAGATGGTCTCAATCCTTTGTGGTGGGAGGTAAGCCATGAGGCATCTTTCTTGCTCCCTTTCAAACAAGATTGCGTGTACTCACTCCAGTGTGTAGTATCGGTGCAGGGTTAGGGCCCACACCTCCCTCCAGTTGCTCAGCTGTCATCTTGTCCCTCTGGTGTCATCTTCCCTTCTGGCCATGCGTGTAGCTTATAGTCTGAGCACACTCTCAGAAGTACACTCTTGAGAGCCTTTGGTTCCATTGGTGTTCTGTAGGTTCTGGTGGTTACAGCTAGGCATCTCACCTGAAATCTAAATACGCCCAAGTAACAGGGTAAACAGCAACATCATAGCTTCCAGTTGTAGGCACTAGTTTTGTAGTCCAAAAGTCTTCTTAGAAAGACCCACATGCTTTTTAAAAAATAAATACGCAAAATCTAGATCATACACTGTTAAGTCACCTAGGTTTGTTGACGGTACTTGCAGATACTCGATTGCATAAGAGTTTAAAGTGCCACAGAGTTTGTAAATTTAGGAATATGCTAAACTCTTTAACATGAGTAGTTCCCATAAATATATTTTGTGAAAGCACTATTAGGTGTATGAACGCACATTGTAGTGTGTATAGGAACAGGTATGTGACAGCCGCCTCTGATGCTCAGGAATAATAGTCCGCATTTTTTTAAAAGATTATTACTGGGGTGTGAGCTCATAATTTTCAAAGTGACTATTCCAGTATCTGATCTGCCTTAAGATGATAATGATAACTGTTCTAAGTATTAACTGGTATCATCTCATTTAATCCTTCTGGCACTTGAACAATGGCGATAGTGTCCTTCTGGCTATACCATAAGGAAACAGACCTCCGGAGACTGAGTAACATTTTCAAGTTCACAAAGCGAGAAAGTGCCAAGAGTAAGGATTTGAACACAGATCTGTCCAGCTCTGGGACTGTGTTCTTAATCACTACATTGTACCATCTTTCTTTTGAGCAGAGGAAGACTCTATTGTGTTGTGTCCCTATTTGTTACAGAAGTTTGAAGCTCTGAGGTAAAAATTATACATGTGGCTGATAGGTCAGCTAAATTTTTTTTCGTAAAAACAATTTAGTCTTACTGGAAAACAGATTTTGGTGTAGGCTATAGGCTTCAACCTTGAACTTCACCTTATGCCACCCCTTCAATATCTTATATTACCTTTCTTTTTTTTTTTTTTTTTTAATGTTTTATTTTATTTCTAGGGGAGAGAGAGAGAGAGAGAGAGCGTGAGCAGAGGAGGGTCAGAGAGAGAGGGAGTCACAGACTGAAACAGGCTCCAGGCTCCGAGCTGGCAGTCAGTACAGAGCCCGACGCGGGGCTCGAACCCACGAACCGTGAGATCATGACCTAAGCGAAAGTCGGATGCTTAACCGACTAAGCCACCCAGGCCACCCCTATATTACCTTACCTTATACCTAAAGACCTTCCAGATTGCATAGGTCTGAAATGGGTGTAAGCTCCCTCAGGTGATCCTGACAGTCGCCTAGGTCTGGTACTCCTCTCTTCATACACTTCCTTTAGGCCTTGTTTTTAAAGGGACCTGCTGAACATGGCCAGATTAGTTCCCTTAAAGTGCAAGTAGAGCTGTATCATTTCTCTGCTTCCACGTCTGCAGCATCTCCTCAGGGCCTATCAGGCACAGCAGCAGACTCTAGCCTCACACTAAGGCTGCTTTCCTGTCCCCAGACTATCTTTCCAACCTTGTCATTCGTTATCATACAGAAGCTTGATGTAGCAGCCATTCTGGCCTCTCCGTACAGCACTTCCTAAAACTTCTTGCTTTCCCACCTCTTAACTGTATGCCAGCAAGGATTTGTTTGTTTTGTTTTGTTTTGTTTTTGCAGTGAATGCAGATTCCCAGCTAACTTAGTGGCCCCAGCTTAGCATCTGTTTCCACGTTCTCCTGAGCTCCCCTGCTGGGAATGAATTCTCCCTTTTATGAAACCTCAGTTCATTTAGTTTGTCACACATCTGACACTTTGCTTCTTTTCCTGTAGATATTTTTGGGGTGTCATCCCTGTAAGTCCTTTCTAGGCAGGGACTGTTCATTCAGTCTACATTTTTTGAGTGCCTACTTGCTGTGTGTCAGCCCCCGCTGAAGATGCTCGAGCTCTTAACGGGAAAAAACAAGCAGGATCTTTTTAATAGATTTTCTTTGCTCTGGATAGTGAGATGGCATCCTTGTCCTGCATATTTTAAGGGTTCCTGAGTCCATCAGTTGAGAGCAGGAAAATCAGTCTCTGCTGAAAAACGATTCATGGTGATTGTAATTTACAGCCATGAATACCTCTTTACCACACTGTGTCAACTGTAATTTCAGGTAATACTTTACTAAATCTGAACTCACCTGTGATGAGTATTTAAAATAGAACATTTGAGCAACAATGTAATTGTAATTTTGAAAATAAAGTAAATGGGGCAATTTATTTCTCCCTGGATTCTTGGTTTGATGTTAAGGAGCCACACCACATGAAGAAAACAAAACTTGCTAAAATTAAATTTTCATTGTTGTGTTACCTTTGAAAAGGCTACCTAATTTACTTTTCTTAGGACCTCTCCCTTTTTGCAGTTCTAGCTTTATAACCATTTGAAAGAAACTTATGATCATTTAAAAATTTAACACATGGAAGGAAAGTCTTTGAAAACCTTTTCTGTACTGCTGCATGTTTTATGTTTGTTTATTTTGAGAAAGAGTGCATGTGCACAAGCAGGGGAAGGGCAGAGAGGGAGAGAGGATCCCAGGCAGGCCTGCACTGCCCGTGGAGAGCCAGATGTAGGACTCAGTCCCACTAACCTGTGAGATCATGACCTGAGCCGAAATCAAGAGTCGGATGCTTAAACCAACTGAGCCACCCAGGTACCCTTTACTGAGATTTTTTTAAGTACTCAGCAATTTGGAGACCGTTAATATGTTACCATAGAGTCATTCATTTAATACTGTCCAAAATGGTCCAGGATTTTACAAAGGCCTTCAAAGTTCCTGTACATCCGGGGCCTGCTCTAGAGGATCTGTCCTGTTCAAAGAAATCCTAACAGATGCTTCGTATTTTCATAAAAATACTCGTATTTTTGGCAGAGACTCATCAATGATAAATGCCTCTAATTTTGAACCAGACTATCCATGCTGATCAAATCATTAGCAAACCTTATTTGGTTCCATATTCAGTGCTGTTGTCTTAAATTTTCCAGTAGCGACATTTAGTGTCTCATAGGAGTAGAATCACACTATTTGTTTGTCCTTTTGTGACCAGCTTATTTCAGTTAGCCTGATGTCTTCAGGGTTCATCTGTGTTTTCAGTAGCCATATTTTAACTTGTAGTTTCATTTAATGCTAACATTTAATTTAAAAATGAAGTTGACTTTAATGCATTTTTAATCTGGTACATCCAAAGTACTGTCATTTCAACAGGTCAGTGTTTTTGAAGAGGTACTTATGAGATATTTTTCATTTTTTAATTCTAAGCTTTGGAAATCCCAAGTATATTTTACATGTGAAAGCATATCTCAAATGGGCAAAAGACTTGAATAAACCTTTCTCCAAAGAAGACATACAAGTGGCTAAGAAGCACATGAAGATGCTCAGTATCCTTCATCATCATTAAGGAAACGCACATCACACCTACAGTGAAATCCTACTTCCTATGCTTTAGGATGGCTGTTATAAAAAAATTAACAAATGTTGGTGACGATGGGGAGACACTGGAAGCATTGTGTGCTGTTGATGGGAATGTAAATGGTAGAACCACTGCAGAGACAGAATTACCGTGTGAAAAGAGATGTGTATGCCCACGTTCATAGCAGTATTCACAATAGCTAAACGGGGGAAGAAATGCAAGTGTCCCATCTAACTGCAAAATGTGGTGTATACCTAGCATGGGTATTATTCAGGCTTAGAATAACAAGATAAGCAAAATACGACGTGTGTGTGTATAGCATTGGATATTATTAAGCATTTAAAAGGACATTTTGGGGGGCCCCGGGCGGCTCAGTCAGTTGAGCGTCTGACTGACTCTGGTCATGATTTTGCAGTCAGTGGGTTCAAGCCCCGTATTGAGCTCTGTGCTGACAGCTCAGAGCCTGGAGCCTGCTCCAGATTCTGTGTCTTCCTCTCTTCCCTCCCCCTCCCTTGCTCATGCTCTGTGTCTCACAAATGAATTAACGTAAAAAAAAAAAAAAAAGTTTTTTTAAAGGAAGGAAATTCTGACACAGAATGACCTGTATAAACCTTAAAGATACTGTGCTAAAGTAAAATAAGCCAGTCACAAAAAGACTTAGTGATTCCACTTATGTGACATACTTAGTCAGAATCATGGAGACTGGAGGATTGTGGTTGCCCAGTGCAGAAGGGAAGTCAGAAATGGGGAGTTGTCTAATGTATAGAGTTTTGCACCATGAAAAGAGTTTGGAGATGGGTGGTGGTGATGGTCGCCATGATATTACGACTACTTAATACCACTGAACTGTACACTTAAAAATGGTTAAGATGGTAAATTTTTTTAATGTGTATTTTTATACCGTATAAATTGATTTAAAAGCATATCTCCAGGGTTGCCTGGCTGGCTCAGTTGGTGGAGCATGCAACTCTAGATCTCAGGTTGTGAGATCCATGGAGCTCCATGTTGGGTGTAGACATTACTTAAGATAAAACTTTTTAAATAAAAAAATGAAAGCATACCTCCATTCACTTTAGACTAGCTACATTTTATGTGAAGGGTAGCCATTTGTGCTAGCATTTACCTTGTTGGAAGGAAAGTACAGTTCTTAGAATAAAAATTAAAAATTTTCAGCCAGCATTGTTTTTCTTGCTGCATGACTAAAATGCTTGAGGTCCATAGATTCATTTCCTTTTAAAAGAAAAACTTCATGTGCATAAAAATCCGGAAGGATAAATATACCCAGTGTTAACTCTTTGGATATGATTACTTGTGTTCCATGCCTTATCTGTATTTTGTTATATTCGATACAGTTGCCTTTTTCTGACTTTGTAACAGTTTTGCTGCAATATAATTCATATATCCTACGATGCACCCCTGTAAAGTATGATTTTTTTTTTTTTTTTTTGTATATTCAAAGAGTTGTGCAGCTATCACCCCACGAAAGAATCAGGTTCCCACTAGCAGTCACCCTCGGCTTCCACTCAGCTCCTCTAGCTTTTGACAGCTTTACCCTCTCTGTCTCTGTAGATTTGCCTGTTCTGTACCTTTTGTGTAAATGGACTCATATAACAAGTTGTCTCTGGTGGCTGACTTCTTTCACATTATATTTCATATAATGTTTTCAGGTTTCAGCCATGTTGGAGTATGTATCAGTACTTCATTTTTTTTTTTAATGGCTGAATCATTTCATTATATGGATATACCACATTTTATTTCTCGATCTAATAGTTAATGGAGATTTGAGTTGTTTTTTCTTGGGTGTTCGTGATTACTGTGAGAACATTCATGTACCAGTTTTTATGTGGATGTATGTTTATTTCTCAATTCCTTTTGTAACAAAAATGAATGGAACTTTTTTTGCAAAAAGGAGCCTAAGAGGCAGTTGAAAGCAGACTAGACTCCAGAGAAAAAGGATCACCAAAAGCCTCTACTTTCCCCAGCATTTCTGGAATAGCATGGCTCGAGTATTGATAATGGGAAGGTGGTAAAAGAGAGACATAGGATACATGTTTTTGAAAAGCTGCTTTATTTAGAGATACAAAGGTTGTGCTTTTCATTTTGCAAGGTATTGTTACAGTTTAGATATCCTTCCGGTGTGACTGTCCAGTGAGTTGGCATCCATGGTGATGGTAAGACCACTTTAGAGCAAGTGGTCTCAGAGCTAATAAGTTGTTTCAATTCTCTGGATCTGATGGGGCTGTCTGACCTGAGCTATGTGTGTATTCCTAATCACCATTTCACCTCTTGAGCTAGTTTGAGCTTGTATAAGGTCATTTCAATCTTGAGTGTTGAAGTTTAGGCACTTTGAGATGTGTATATGTATTTAACATGCTCTTGTTGTTTACCTTTAATGTCAGAAATCAGTGCTTCATCTAAGTTGGGTAATGGGAGGAGGGCTGCGTCCTAGATCTGAAGATGACCTTGAGACCCAGCTCAGTCACCGACAAGCTGATCACCCTTGGGTCAGTTGCTTCACCTCAGTTGCTAATCTGTAAAATGAGAAGAGTTTAGATTAGGCAACGCTGAGGCTCTGTCAGTGATTCACAGTGTTCCACTTTAGTATCAGAATGCTCTTGCCCCTTCACTTGAGAAGATACTTAAAGACTTGATAATTACTTCCCTTCTAACCAGACATGGATTCAGTACAGATTTTTTTTTCTCACCAACTGAAGCACCTAATACTGAAGCACGCAGCACATATTAAAAAAAAAAAAATCTTAATTGTTGTCGTATGTAAGGTGGCTGCCACCAACACAAATGCACCTTCCAGGAGCATTAATTAAACAATAATATCCAGGGCACGCCTGGCTGGCTCAGTCAGTGGAACATGCCAGGCTTGATCTCAGGGTCGTGAATTTGAGCCCCATGTTGGGCAGAGGGATTACTTTTTTAGAAAGTAATACAGGTTTGGGGCGCCTGGGTGGCTTAGTCGGTTAGGCGTCCGACTTTCGCTTAGGTCATGATCTCACGGTTCGTGGGTTCGAGCCCCGCGTCGGGGTCTGTGCTGACTGCCAGCTCAGAGCCTGGAGCCTATTTCAGAGTCTGTATCTCCCTCTCTCTCTGACCCTCCCCTGCTCACGCTGTCTCTCTCTCTCTCTCTCTCAGAAATAAATAAAAAATATTTAAAAAAAAAAAAAAAGAAAGAAAGAAAGTAATACAGGTTTAAAAAAATAGTAACATCCAGAACTAAAGAAGTGTTGTCCCATTTGATCTTCTAATTGTAACACATCTGGAATAAGTTTATTCAAGGCATCAAAGACATTGACAGACTAGAGCCTGTCTGCTGGAGATTGGCTTCTGTGATCGCAGGAGCAGTGCTGAAGAGAGCTGAGCGTGGGTGACTCGGAGCAGGAGGGAGACTTGGGAGGAGAAAGGGTCAGAGAAGCGTGGAAGGCTGTTATGTGGCTAGATGATTAAAGGTTTCTGTAGCTGGACTGAGAGATCTGGGCCTGTGGACGGAGCTTCCCCGCCTGGGACCGGCTGCCTGGCAGGGTCTGTGCTCTGCTCGCTCGGGTGATCAGGCAGAGAGACGATCTCCGAGCAGGGCTGCTTGTGGGAGGGATTCACCTGTTGTTCGTCGGCAGTGGCCAGAAGTTCCTGTGACCAGACGTCGTACAGGATGCTGTGTTTGCATAAATATCCTCGTCTGGCCTCGAGTAAATAACCCTCTACTTCCCAAAAAAGTAGTATGAAAGCTTAAGGAATTTAATCATTGATTTGGGCAAGACTTGAAGAACATCAAGATGTCTTTTTCTGGAGGCAGTTTTGTATTTGACACAATTAACTCCATTGAGATTCGTTATCAGAGAGTAAAAGTGCAGTTCGTGGATGAGAATAGGAGAAAACAAGTTGGTTACGTTCTTGCCTGCTGCTTGTCTTTATTAACAGTGTTCTAATCTGGTTATCCTGAGCAAAATAATTCATTCAGATTGAGTTTTTGGTACAGGTGTGTCTTCATTTGCAAAGTAATTTCTCCTCATCCTCCTGGGCTTTCCTAATAAGCCCCTTCTTTGGCCTCAACGCTACTTCACAATTTCTGTTACTTAAGGAGAAGGGAGCCTAACCTTTGTTTTCTTACCTCTCATGCTGCACAGTTTTATCTGCTAATCCAGATGAGCGTTCTGCCCCTGGATTGTCAGGCGCTTACTTGCTCTGTGGTACTTGGGATTGAGAAGAAAGGTGACGACGACAGCTAGAGCTGCCTTTCTGTGAAGAGCCTCTGGAATCTGCAAGGTCTTTTGCCCAGGCTTATAGGAAATTGAAAGATTAGCTGCTTCTGTTCAGAACTCTGACTTTAAAAAAAAAAAAAAAAAAAGATTGAGTAGGGTGATTGCTTCCAGGCTAAATGTTAGGCCCTAGGCTCTGGGCTCTCAATGCCCTCACTCGTTGGAAAGTTGTTCTAGAAAGGCTTTACAGGGTTTATTTTTTCAAAGTACAAACATACAGAGGCGCCTGGGTGGCTCAGTCAGTTAAGCATCCGACTTCACCTCAGGTCATGATCTCACGGTTCGTGGGTTCGAGCCCCACGTCAGGCTCTGTGCTGACAGCTCAGAGCCTGGAACCTGCTTCAAATTCTGTGTCTCCCTCTCTCTGACCCTCTCCTGCTTACGCTTAGTGACATCATTAAAAGCAAATAAGAGGTCTCTGTTCCCTGCTTCTGATCCCAGTATTGTCAGGAAAGATAAGCACTTAATTGATTATAAAAGAAACTGTGTTTTACGATAACCACATTTGTGCTCTGTGATATTGACAGGGTATTAAATACGTTGCTGAGGAGGTGGTAAGAGGAAGAGTGAGTGCATAAATAGGCAAATGATGTTTTCTTTCTGCCTAGTTTTTATTTTAATGGGTCCTAAATGTTTCGACAGAGACATCACAAAAGCTGTTTTTTTAAAAAGTACATCACAGGTAGCATGAGGATTCATGAGAAATTTCTTAAAATGTCTGTGCATCTTAAAAAATAACAAAGCTTAGTATTTTTTAGTTAGTGATTTAAACTTCAAACATATCTGACCCTTAAAACCCAGTGTGGGTTATAAAATCTTTATATAAATAGTTGAATACTTAGAACATTGGAATACTTTGTTTTTTTAATATCAAGGACCTGAATTTGTTCTTACATGTTAATTTGGATTGAGGATATTAACAAAAATGAAATTGTTTATATTGTAGTAGTTTGAATGTCTTCCTAATTTTTTATTAATTTAGAAAATACAATTGCTACTTTTTTTCACTAGTAATGGCATAATTTCCAGCCTTTGATCCAACCCCCAACATCCCCCCAGTAAAAGATTTTCCCAGATGTGTATTTTCCTTTACAGCTTAATGTAGACATGTTTAAAAGACAACATCAAAGTATAAACTGTACTCTAATCCTTAGGCTTATTGTGGACCTCTGATAACCATCCTCTGATCAGACTGTAATTTTACTTAGGAGAGATTTTCAGTAAACTGTTGGAATTCTGCTGTAGCCATCAAACTTCTTGCTTTGGGTGACTGCCCACCAGGTCCCGATTCTACATTTCAGTCAGCTGCCACCTTGGCATAAATTTGCCTTAGAAGCTTAGGTTAGGCAAGTAACTTATTTCAAGGAGATACCTCGGAATAGACTCCTCGCCCCCCCCCCCCCCCCCCCCCCCCCCCCCCCCCCCCCCCCCCCCGCCATTTCAACCTGAGCCTCTCACTATTTTTTTTTTTTTTTAATTCAGCTAAGATTTGTTTAGAAACAAGGGTTTCCTCTTCAAAAGGGGTGGGGGGGGGTGTTGAAAACCACTGGTTTAGACGAAGCAGCTTATGTTTAGGTGTTACCAGGAAGAAGTCACCATTCCTGGCTAGCTCTCAAAGCATTGTTAGAAACATTTGCTCAAGATAATCACAAAGTATACTCACTGACATAACTGATGGATTAGTTGTCACTCCTGTATGCTCAGATTTTGGTTCCCAGATATGTGAAAGTTGCACTTAAACTTGGGAGTGATGGAAACTAGGACATGCTAGCATATTTACTTCTGTATTTTCTGGCATGTTAAATTAGCACCATATGTTCTTATTAGGAACTGAGGAAGCATAAGAATGCGCATAAAAATATGAGGAATTACAATACTGAAAAATGCCATGTTATATCCACACTTGGAGTAGCTTAAAATATCCAGAAAAGTTTGATCTGGCTTCTTTGATTATCTGTGCCTGGTCAAAGGTTTAAGGTGGGGTTTTATGGGGTTTTTTGTTTTTGATTTTTCTGTGGGCACAGTTGCAAATGTTTTTTCTGCTTTTCTTGTACCCCTCATCTAAAAACAGAGACTGAATAATGCCATGCTTGATCTGGTGGCTTTGCATGGGACCTTATCAGGCATAGACAAGCCTCATTGACTTGGTACATCAGGTCCTGCAAACCTTACCTTGAGCTGGCTAAATCAGCACCGTTTGCTGGATTCCTCTTTGTCTTCCTAACTCAGAAGAGAACCGGAGTACAACACTTGACTTGATCCAAGCCTTTTGGCAGAGCTTTTGTTTTCTAAATGATTATAATTCTTTTTCTCAGGTAATGACTTCTTTGCTTAAGTTCACAGTCAGTGAGGTGGTATCAACCTTTCCCTGTACAGATTCAGCCTGTAGATGACATGTCCTCATGGGACACGCTCACTCCGCCTCATTTACTCTTGGTATATGGAGTAGAGGAATATTTTTGCTTTTGGTATATGGAGGGGAAGGAGGAATATGTAGTTGATGAATCTTCGATATGTGTTTTCAGTTCATCTCTAGCTTAGGGCTACAGATCTCAGATTTTCATTTGTGCCTTCTGACTCTTGCTTTCTAAGAAAGTGCGTGAGTAGGAGTTTAGCCAGGATTATTACTAAAACTTTAATGTTTTGGCCCCAATCAGTAGGTATGGATATAATCCTCAAAGATCAATAGGAAGGAGTGTGACTGAATCATTCCACAGCAGTGAATTTAAATCATTCTCAAAAATTGATATTTTAAGTCTAGTTATCAGATGGCATATGCTTACTCAAACTCTACTTATTTTCAGTTGTTAATCAAACACTTGCAGGTGTTAACTCTGTTATTAATAGGTCATTTAGGGGCTCCTGGGTGGCTCAGTCAGTTAAGCGTCCAGCTCTTGATTTTGGCTCAGGTCATGATCTCAACGGTTCTTAAGTTCAAGCTCCACATCAGGCTCTGCACTGACACTGCAGAGCCTACTTGAGAGTCCGTCTGTCTGTCTGTCTCTCTCTCTCTCTCTCTCTGCCCCTCCCTCCCTCCCTCATGCTCTCTCTCAAAAAATCAGTATCAGGGAAAAAAAATAGGTCATTGAGCTTTCCCCCAATCTTTTAGCATTTAGAAAGTGACTCTTTTAATACAGTGTTTGTTTTGATTAATGAAACCACGGGCCATATCATCTTTCAGAATAACTGTCTTCCTGGCAAACTCTTATTCTTCCTACTAGACCTAATTCACAGGTGTAATTACTTGGCATAAAGTTCTCCCATCTTTTCTCTTGCTCACTTCACTTCTGTGTCCCACTGCCCAGTGGGTCTATGAAGACTTTTGGTTGGAAGGGACATGAACCAAAGCTTAAGCAGAAATCGTCATGTACTTGCTCTTGTTTAGGAAAAGCCAAACAGGTGTCCTTTGCTCCCTCTCTGCTTTCTGCATTTGTAGTCGTAGGTCCTAAGTCCTTTTCCGCATCATTAGCATTCCGTCTGGGGCACATGTCCAACTCTACCGGTCAGTGTCTGTAGAGATAGATTACTCTAATTGGTGGACCTGAGTCATGTACACTCGGCTCTCATGGAGGAAGGGCCTTCGAACAGCACATCATTTGTACCAAGGGTGGCTTCAAAAGGAACTCAAGCAGGCAAAAACAACCATCTTTTTTACTACAGTGCCATAGTGCCTGCCGTTTGCTCTAGGTCCTGTCCCTTAGACATGATAGACTTTTGAAGGGAAGAACTAGGTCCTATTCATCTATCTTCTCTGAGCACAAAGTGTAGGTTCTCCAGAAATGACTGATAAACAGGTGAACAGTGGTTCCATTCTGTTAAATTGAATGTTTTCCCCTTCTTTGCCATGAGCTGAAGGGATTATGGTTTGACTGAAGGGAGCTCTCCTTGGTATTGAGATAATGGTGCTGACCTGGTGAACTGGCCATCCTCACAGCTAAGGAGGTTCAAGATAAAGAACTAGCCACCTGGGGACAAATCTGGAGAGAAAGACTATCCTTCTGCATTCCTTTGAATCCATCACCAGACAATTTTGACATTATTGTAAGGCATCTTCCTCCCTCAGAGTAACTATTGTAAATATTTTGTTTTTAGCTAAATGAGGAAACAGCCCTTAATCCCAGTCTATTTCTTATTTACTCTGTTCCTGCTTCTCAGTCACTTAAGGTATGGGCCCTTTGTCCATGTTGCTAATTGAGAGGGCTTTTAAGGGGTGCAGAGGAGGCCAAGAGTTATTTTCATAAAAGTTTTTTTTAAGTTTGAACCAAGTAGATAACATGGTTGAACCCTAAAGCCAGCAGTTGATTTGAAGGGTTTTGTTTTGTTTTATTTTTGAGACAAAGAGCATGGGTGGGGGAGGAAGACACAGAATTCAAAGCAGGTTCCAGGGTCTGAACAGTTAGTCCAGAGCCCAATGTGGGGCCGGAACCCATGAACCGTGAGATCATGTCCTGAGCCGAAGTCGACACTTAGCCATTTGAGCCTCCCAGGCGCCCTGAAGTTGTTTCTTAACAAGCGATAGGCTTGGGAAAACAACCACGGAGGGTCCTTGAGTTCTTTTTCTTATTGCCCTTGCTAATCCTAACGTTCACAGATCAGAGTGTATTGGAGATGTTCTTTCAAGGAACCTTTGGCTTGTAGAAAAGCTTGACATAACAGTGGCCCCTCTAGAAAGGGGGAGAGCTCCATTGCTGGAGGGCAGGAGGAGCAGGGAGCCTTCTTTGCTTATATTCTTAGACTGTGTGCCTGTTTTGTACAGAGTGTTTTACTTACAAAAACAAGAGTCTTTGTAAGTGCTTTTTGATGGTGCTAACACATATGAATTATTCTAGCTCCAGATGGACAAAATCTTTTAAGTGATCTCCATAAGTAGATACATGGAGGGTACCTCCATCTAAAGAAGGGGGAAGAAAGAATTCCTCATATTTTATTTTATTTTTTTTTTTTTTTTTAAATGTTTTATTTATTTCTAACAGAGGGAGAGACAGCGTGAGCAGGGGAGGGTCAGAGAGAGAGGGAGTCACAGACTGAAACAGGCTCCAGGCTCTGAGCTGGCAGTCAGCACAAAGCCCGACGCGGGGCTCGAACCCACGAACCGCGAGATCATGACCTAAGCGAAAGTCGGACGCTTAACCGACTAAGCCACCCAGGCGCCCCAGAATTCCTCATATTTTAAAAAAAAAAAAAAAACACCTGGCATTTTTAAAGTTTGTTTATTTAGAGAAAGCATGAGCACGACTGGGAGGAGGGGCGAGAAAGTCCCAAGCAGGCTCTGCGCTTGTGCTGAGCCCAACACGGGGCTCAGTCCCACGACCTCTGAGATCATGACCTAAACCAAATCAAGAGCCAAAGGTTTAACTGACTGAGCCCCCCCAAGTGACCCCCCCATGTCAGTTGTCTTAACTCTGAGTATTCTACATCTTTCAGTGTAAACTTAGGTTCTTCCTAGTTGCTAATCATAAAGAACCATTTTTGTAAAACATTTTTTGGTAAGCAGCGTTCACTATTTATATGCCTGTTTAATTCAGTCTAAGTAAACTTGAGATTTACTCTATGGCTGAAATACCAAATTTTATAAATTATGAGTTTCTTGTAGCTAAGCTCCGTTATGAGCATACTCACTCTTTCAGACCTATAGGTTTGTAAATTGGGTACCTACCATTTAGTGAGGTGCCTCCCTAGGAGGTCTTTAAACAACTTTGCTTGTTCTGAATGGTGGGCACTTAGAATGCCTCATACATTGTCCACAGAGAATGAGTTTCCCTTTATCCCCTGCAGCAGTTCAACGCCCCCTGGATGTTTTCTGTATAGACCGGTGGCAACATTTCCAAATCGTTGTGTATTTGTTTTGCTGAGATGTTGAGCTGCTGCTCTCCAGGAGGCATGGGAGACGAGTAAGGGCTGCTGCTGGGCCCATCTCCTCTGAAGTAAAGCAGGACTAACTTGGGAAGTTCGGAGAGAACTGCTGGGTTTGGGCCCACAGAGAAAGCTTATGAAATGAATAAACAAAAATGTCTCTTCTCAGACTTGGGTGCTTATGGGCATCTGTTTGATGCCTGGTCTCTTCAGAATTAGCCTGCAACATTTTCTCTTATTTCTGAAACATTTCTTCTATGAGGTGGCTTTCTCTAGATGACCTAGTTTGGGGGAATGGTTTTATTAAATAGCACCTGATTAAAAAGTTTCAAAAAGATGGTTTAAAAACAATTTAGCAATAAAATTTCCACAAGGAATAATGGATTTGGCCTTGAATGCACATTAATTTGTATCCAGAGTGACTTCTGAGTCCCCTGTTAACTACTGTGCTGATTATTGGAGGACAGAGAATGCGGAGGACACGATAGTCGTGCTTCTTAGCTGATAGAGCAGGTCGGTGTTGAGGATGGGAAGGCGGATATATATATATTTTTTTTTTTTTAATTTTTTTTAAGTGAAGTACTTTTCTTTTTTGGCCTCAATTACACTTCAGTACTTCATGTAGAATATTTTGAAACTTCTCAGTGCTGGTAACATATCCAAATTCAGAATTTCTAGGAGTTAGTTTGCTTTGGTGTAGGCTTTGCTGTTTTCCATTTTTCATAATCCACAATATTGATTTTTGATTAGAATAATAAATGAGGTAACAGGATATAGTATTACCTTTGGATTAGTGGATTATGGTTGTGCTTACAATGGTAGTGGTATGAAAGAGTGTCTGCCTTTATTAGAAAACTTGATTTGCGTGTATGAAACTAATTCCCGATACTTTGGCTTTTAGGTTTGCCTCTAGTTTTGGTTTTTGGAAGTCTTTTATATCTTTTAGTATTTGGATGGTTAGAGAAGTTCCTAACTATATTTTATAGGGAAACAAATGATCATGTTGGAAGCCATACAAGTACTAATTTTTATTTTCTTAACTTTTGCTTTTTAAGGAACTTGGGAAATGGATCTAAATTTCTGTTTTAATGTATTAGGTCATTTAAGTAATTTTTCAGTTCCTTCACACAGATAGAGGCTTTTCATTTTTCAAAAGGATTCCCTAAAATCTAACACAGGTAGCACTTGCTCTGATGCTGAGTGCGTAGATTTCCCCGTCACCATAAGTGAGTGCCTTTGTCCAGGTGTGGTGCTGGCTGGGGGGCAGGCTTCACAACCATTAGTGTCTGCAGTTGGGGTAGTATATGGAAACACTTAAGGATATCTCTTTAAGAATACCCTAGCAGTGTGCAGGATGGCTCCCAGAAAACAGACACTTCTTTTCCCTGGCACTCAAAATTACGTGGCAATGATGCTGGAATGGCGAACATCTTTCTATTTTCAGAGGCTCAGCATCACAAGGAGAAAAGCACTCACACTCATTTTTAAAATAATTGGTTGGTATGCTTAACCTAATTCTCAACTTAAAAAAAAAAAAGTTTGGTGATGAAGTTAAACTCTCATTAGAATTGTGCCAGATTAGTCTCATAGCCCCCCTATGACATAAACTGTCCTGTTAGAAACAGAAGGTCAGAGAGCACTTACTTTGCCTGCCTGCTCTAAGTGTCAGAACAGACTAGGTCAGAGGATCTGCGCACCTCCTCTGTCAGCGGGCCAGGCTTTGTGGTCCTGCCGTCAGTGGAACTAGGAAATATTACAAGTTGTACGTGTTTTGACTTGACTTAAATTTTTTTTTCCAATAGAAACTATGTTCCAACTTCCTGTCAACAATCTTGGCAGTTTAAGAAAAGCCCGGAAAACTGTGAAAAAAATACTTAGTGACATTGGGTTGGAATACTGTAAAGAACACATAGAAGTAAGTAGCATGCCGTTTTTTAATTTTAACATGACTCAGCTTCTGATCCATTACTTTGTGTCAGCAGCCGGGATGGTTAATTCTTAGCTGTGATTCTGAATTTTAACTGCAGCATTAGCTTCACCAGAGCTTTCTCAGTTGGCTAAACTTGTTCCCTTCTCCCTAAAATGGGCTTTTTCATCTTTGCATCATGAAGCAAAAGCAGTTCTACCATTGAGGACGTACACATGTCAGACACTTTACTAGGTGCTTGAAAATGGTCTCTAAGTTCAGATCCTTAGAACAACCCCTGGGGGGGAATGTAGGAATTCTTATCCAATTTACAGATGAAGAACCAGTAAAGAAATAGGTTCACCTCACAGCTGAGCATATGGCAGGGTCTGTCTGTGGGACTCCAGAGCCTGTTCTCATTCTGATATGCCTGAATGTTCTGGTTGACCTTCTGATTGTTGAGGCGTGGTGGTTTGGGTGCTTGTTGTCTCTTTCCTTAGGATTTGAGCGGTTGTTGGCCCTTTTGACCCATCATAGATTATTATCTTCCCCTTGTGTAACAGTTTGGACTTTTGCAAACTGTTTTTCTAACCTTTTTATCCTATGAGCTTTATAACAGCCCTGTGGGATAACCAGTGCACTGGTCTCCTTTTCCAGATCTCATTGCTCCAGGTCTTGCTGCTGTTTAGTTGGTCAGAGCCTCTGGTTGAATATTTAAAGCTGTTTTCCCCTCTAGCCTTTAAGTTCCAGCTGGCCAGGGACCATAACTGCCTTGTCCATCCACGTATAACCAGCACCTAGCACAGTGCTGGGTACATAATAGGCACTCAGTAAACGTTTGGATGGAATATGAAAGTTAAAAAGTGATTTCCTTCATGCAACAGGTGTTCCTTTCCTGATTCCCATGAGTAATACTCTAGAGGTGTATGAGGAAGACTGAAGCTTCACAAAAGTGGGCTTCTCTAGTTACATTGTCCCCAGCGTGGAAGTTCACTGCTTCTCCAGCCCCTCAAATTCAGGTAGATCCGCCCAGTGAAACAGTCCATCCACTTCCACTTTACACTCAGTCGGGTAATCTGCAGAAGAATAAATGCAAATGTGAAGGTACCTTTTCTGTCCTGCATTTGACGTGTTCTTCCTGTTACTACACCCGTTACATCCTCTGGAATTTAGATATACTTGATTTTCCCACAGTGAACTATGAACCTTTTAGGAGCCAAAGGGAATTTTCTCCTAAGACTGTATCTTCCTGGCCTGGGGGGGAAATGGCCGTTAAATTTTTATATAATAGTATAAATTTAACAGTACTGCTTACTTTCTTCAAATAGCTTTCTTTCTTCCTTTTACGGGTTAAGAAATCCTGAGTTTTCTTCCCCATCCATTTCTAACCTCCCACCCTCCTTTTGGTCTACAGAAACAAGAGTGTCACATCCATGGTGCTTTAGGCAAACATTGCTAGTTTATATTCCATTTTGCTACTACAGCTGATGAGTTACAGTACTCTAATGAAAGGGGCTTTGGTATTTTTTACTTAATTAGAACTTCCATTGGTTTCCTTGGAAACCTGTCTGACCATTAGGAGAGTGTTTGGTTGTTCAAAAATTTTGAATGCAACTTCCATATGGCTTTTCTATTTCCTAATAGCCTTATCGTTCCTAAGTTTAGTTCTTGCTGGGGTTGGTTTATCTGTGGGTCTCCCCAGCTGTAGCTAAGAGATGGGATTTGTAAGTCAGGTTGGGCTAGAGTTGGTATCATGATGTTTTTGTAAACTTCTTTCACTGTTTTCTAGGATTTTAAACAGTTTGAACCTAATGACTTTTATTTGAAAAACACTACATGGGAGGATGTAGGACTATGGGACCCTTCACTTACTAAAAATCAGGTAAGTGGCAGAGGAGACTTAATGACAGCATCCTTCGTGCATCCCCTGTTCAGCTCTAGGCTTTTCATAGGGACACATTGTTTTGTAGGCAGCAACCTAGTGTGGAAAGTGTTCATTTCCTAAGTGGCAGGGAAGACCAGGAAGAATTTGTCTTTGTCATTGGATAGAAACTTCCAAGTGTAAGAAGAATAGGAAATTTTGTTACTTAAATGTTCTGAAGCCCAGTATGTATCAACGTTCCCTCACAGAAGTACTTTGGCTTTTTTATTTCTCTGTGTCTAAAATGTTCCCTCCAACATTCTGTTTATCTGCGGTCATCCATCATTATTTTTGTGTCTGTCACAATTCTTGGTGTGTTGTTTGTTTTTTGCTTTTTGTTTTCTTTTTGGAGAGGGTATTTTTTCTCTGTTGCTATCCTCCACCTGGTGTGGGGCAGGGTGGCTCTGTCAGGATGGCATTGACAGGTGTTAAATTTTTACAAATTAGAATTATAAACACTGCTAGGTAGTTAAAGGGGAAGATGTGACAGTGAAGGTGGTATATAGGTGGTAGTTCCTGTCCCATAGGGAGAAACGATACGGTCACTGCAGATTTTACCTTTCCCTATTTCAGTAGTGATTAGAACTCTATCGATCTGTTTATCCATTGGAATATACTTAGCAGGGAATTAGTACTTTTAAACTCTGTCAGAAATCTGATAGTAGTTACCTGATTTTTTCTTCTAAACATATTAACCAGAACTCTTAGAATGGAAGAGCTTTCCAGTGGGACAGATCACTTAATTCGGTTTTATGAATCCCAGAGCTTCCCGTTCTAATACTAAACAAGGGTTGAGCTTTACGGGAAAGCAGAGTGTTTTATACTGGAGCAAACCAGTGTCCGAAACCTTAAGTTTCTAGGGAGGAAAGGGAATCTCTTGCCCAGCTTGTGTTTCACTGGTCTTCAAAGGACAAACTGCACAGGTGCTAATGAGCATAATTCTGGAAGTTGCTCTTTGAAATCAGTATATTCTGCAATACTTTGTTGGCTTTTTAACACCATGCACTCCTCACAGTCTATAGGAAATTTTTATTTAACTTCTTAATTTGAATCAAAGCAGCTGTCACTTCATTACTTCTTTTGAAGCTGCTCTTGCTTGAGAAGAGAGAGTATGGCTTCTAGAAGAAAGCAGACTCTTCAAATCAGTAGCTTTTTGATCAGCAATGAAATCTGAATACTACACTGTACTTCAATCAGAGGAAAAAATGTTCTGAGATTTTTGAAGATTCTCCATGATGGGAAGGATAAAAGGTGTATCTTTATGTCTTACTGCCTAATTGCAGACAGCACTCTGGGCCCGGAGTTGTACTGAATAGTAAGTCTGAAACCTTTAGCAGTTTACTGATTCAGGGAGTGAAAGTGATTTCACAGGGTTTATTCTTGTCGTTTCTAACTGTAAAATGTTTATCTTTGAAGCCATTTGTCTTCAGCTTCTCTAAAACCAGTCAACAAATAGGACTTTGATCTTTCCTAAACATTAAGGGAAAACTTAGAATGGAGTTTTTTATTTATACTCTGGGAACCAAATAATTTTATTTGGTTTAAAACTGCTTTTCCATCTGGGTTTATATTTTGTACATTCATTTTGCAAAAGGAAAAAAATGCATTACAGAATTTCAGTTCTAAAAATAGCATTATGTCTATATCTGTTAAAAACCGAGGCCGTCTGGGGAGAAGACCTGGAGCCTGTTGTTCCCTCTCTGGGGTGCGTTGCGTTCTGATTCCAGTTTTTGTCTTTTCTTTAGGACTACCGGACAAAACCTTTTTGCTGCAGTGCTTGTCCATTTTCTTCAAAATTTTTTTCTGCTTACAAAAGTCATTTCCGGAATGTCCATAGTGAAGATTTTGAAAATAGGATTCTCCTTAATTGCCCCTACTGTACCTTCAATGCAGACAAAAAGACTTTGGAAACACACATTAAGATATTTCATGCTCCAAACGCCAGCGCACCAAGTAGCAGCCTCAGCACTTTCAAAGATAAAAGCAAAAATGATGGCCTTAAACCTAAGCAGGCTGACAGTGTAGAACAAGCTGTTTATTACTGTAAGAAGTGCACTTACCGAGATCCTCTTTACGAAATAGTTAGGAAGCACATTTACAGGGAACATTTTCAGCATGTGGCAGCACCTTACATAGCAAAGGCAGGTGAAAAATCACTCAACGGTGCAGTCCCTTTAGGTTCAAATGCCCGAGAAGAGAGTAGTATTCACTGCAAGCGATGCCTTTTCATGCCAAAGTCCTATGAAGCTTTGGTACAACATGTCATCGAAGACCATGAACGCATAGGCTACCAGGTCACTGCCATGATTGGGCACACAAATGTGGTGGTTCCCCGATCCAAACCTCTGATGCTAATTGCTCCCAAACCTCAAGAGAAGAAGGGCATGGGACTCCAATCGAGAATTGGTTCCCTTGCTTCTGGAAATGTCCGGTCTTTGCCATCACAGCAGATGGTAAATCGACTCTCAATACCAAAGCCTAACTTAAATTCTACAGGAGTCAACATGATGTCTAATGTTCACCTACAGCAGAATAACTATGGAGTCAAATCTGTAGGTCAGGGCTATGGCGTTGGTCAGTCAATGAGACTGGGTCTAGGTGGCAACGCACCAGTTTCCATCCCTCAGCAGTCTCAGTCTGTGAAGCAGTTACTTCCGAGCGGAAATGGAAGATCTTATGGGCTTGGGTCAGAGCAGAGGTCCCAGGCACCAGCAAGATACTCCCTGCAATCTGCTAATGCCTCTTCTCTCTCATCAGGCCAGTTAAAGTCTCCCTCCCTCTCCCAGTCACAGGCATCCAGAGTATTAGGTCAGTCCAGTTCCAAACCTACTGCAGCTGCCACGGGCCCTCCCCCAGCCAATACTTCCTCAACTCAAAAGTGGAAAATATGTACAATCTGTAATGAGCTTTTTCCTGAAAATGTCTATAGTGTGCACTTCGAAAAAGAACATAAAGCTGAGAAAGTCCCAGCAGTAGCCAACTACATTATGAAAATACACAATTTTACTAGCAAATGCCTCTACTGTAATCGCTATTTGCCCACAGATACCCTACTCAACCATATGTTAATTCATGGTCTGTCTTGTCCATATTGCCGTTCAACTTTCAATGATGTGGAAAAGATGGCGGCACACATGCGGATGGTTCACATTGATGAAGAGATGGGACCTAAAACAGATTCTACTTTGAGTTTTGATTTGACATTGCAGCAGGGTAGTCACACTAACATCCATCTCCTTGTAACCACATACAACCTGAGGGATGCCCCAGCTGAATCGGTTGCTTACCATGCCCAGAATAACCCTCCAGTCCCTCCAAAGCCACAGCCAAAAGTTCAGGAAAAGGCAGATATCCCTGTTAAAAGTTCACCTCAAGCGGCAGTGCCCTATAAAAAAGATGTTGGGAAAACCCTTTGCCCTCTTTGCTTTTCAATCCTAAAAGGACCCATATCTGATGCACTTGCACATCACCTGCGAGAGAGGCACCAAGTCATCCAGACGGTCCATCCCGTGGAAAAAAAGCTCACCTACAAGTGCATCCATTGCCTTGGTGTGTATACCAGCAACATGACCGCCTCGACTATCACTCTGCATCTAGTTCACTGCAGGGGTGTTGGAAAGACCCAGAATGGCCAGGATAAGACAAATGCACCCTCTCGGCTTAATCAGTCACCGGGCCTAGCACCTGTGAAGCGCACTTACGAGCAAGTGGAATTTCCCTTGCTGAAAAAGCGAAAGTTAGACGAGGACAGCGACTCGCCCGGCTTCTTCGAGGAGAAGCCTGAGGAGCCGGTTGTGTTAGCTTTAGACCCCAAGGGTCACGAGGATGACTCCTACGAAGCCAGGAAAAGCTTCCTAACGAAGTATTTCAACAAACAGCCCTATCCCACCCGGAGAGAAATTGAGAAGCTGGCCGCCAGTTTATGGTTGTGGAAGAGTGACATTGCCTCCCATTTTAGCAACAAGAGGAAGAAATGTGTCCGAGACTGTGAAAAGTACAAGCCCGGCGTGTTACTGGGCTTCAACATGAAAGAACTAAACAAAGTCAAGCACGAGATGGATTTTGACGCTGAGTGGCTGTTTGAGAATCACGATGAGAAGGATTCCAGAGTGAATGCCAGTAAAACTGCCGACAAAAAGCTCAGCCTCGGGAAGGAAGAGGACAGCTCCTCAGACAGTTTTGAAAATTTGGAAGAAGAGTCCAATGGAAGCGGTAGCCCCTTTGACCCGGTGTTTGAAGTTGAGCCTAAAATCCCTAATGATAACCCAGAGGAGCACATACCGAAGGCCCTTTCCGAGGATGCTTTAGAATCAGAGAAGCTAGACCAAAACGAGGAGGATGGTTCAAAATACGGAACTGTTCATTTGACTGCGGAGCCAACCAAACTAATGCATGATGCTTCAGACAGTGAGATTGACCAGGATGATGCTGTCGAGTGGAAAGATGGCGCTTCTCCGTCGGAGAGTGGTCCTGGTTCCCAACAAGTGTCAGACTTTGAGGACAATGCATGTGAAATGAAACCGGGAACCTGGTCTGATGAGTCTTCCCAGAGTGAAGACGCAAGAAGCAGTAAGCCAGCTGCCAAAAAAAAGGCTACCGTGCAAGGTGACAGAGAGCAGTTGAAGTGGAAGAATAGTTCCTATGGAAAAGTTGAAGGGTTTTGGTCCAAGGACCAGTCACAGTGGAAGAATGCATCTGAAAATGATGAGCGCTTATCTAACCCACAGATTGAGTGGCAGAATAGCACAATTGACAGTGAGGATGGGGAGCAGTTTGACAACATGACCGATGGGGTCGCTGAGCCGATGCATGGCAGCCTGGCCGGAGTCAAACTGAGCAGCCAGCAGGCGTAAGGGCCAGGCTCTCTGTGGCAGCGGGGACGTGCTGCAGCCTGGAACTCTGCTCTCCTGGCGGCAGGACTGCACAGCTGGACTCTTAACTGGCACTGCCTTGTGAGCGCCGGGTCATCGGGCTGTGGGAATGCGTGGCCACTGCAACCCGGTGGTTATTTCTAAGTCTATGACACACGATTGGCTGATCTTGCATTGGAACTTGCTGTGACAGACACAGTAAATAAATGTGAAAAACCAATAAGCTGGTGGCTCACGAGCGCACATGAGGAAAAGCAGAGGTTTATTTTATCTGCCTTCTCGACATTTCTTTCCCTCTGTGAAATGTTTGGTTGGATGTTCTTGGGAAGCGTTCTCCCAATTCACGCGGTAGTGTAGGGCCAGCAGACAAGCTGCCAGTCCAATGTGTATAGTAGACTTTGGGGAAAAAAAAAATCAATTTTTTTTCATGTATTCATTCTGAATAGTTGAAATGTATATTTGTACAGTCTTTTAGACCTATTCAAGTGATGCCTATGATATTGTTATTGTGTACCCATCATAGAGTTCTTTTTTTAGTGTTGCCCTTGCTGTGTAATAAACGCTATCTCTAGTTTACCTAGCAAAAGCTTGAAACTGCGCTAGTATGGACTTTTGGACAGACTTAGTTTTTGCACATAACCTTGTACAATCTTGCAACAGAGGCCAGCCACGTAAGATATATATCTGGACTCTCTTGTATTATAGAATTTTTCTCGTTCTGAATATCCTTGACATTACAGCTGACAGAAACAAAAACTGGTATTTCAGATCTGTTTTCTGAAATCTTTTAAGCTAAAATCACATGCAAGAATTGACTTTGCAGCTACTAATTTTGACACCTTTTAGATCTGTATGAAAGTGTGTTGTGTTGAAGCAGCAAACCAAGGAGTGCTGCCTTTTGGATATTTAGTTTTATCTTTAGTTAAACACCACCCTGGTGTATTCATTTATACCATCTAATATATGACACACTGTTGTAGTATGTATAATTTTGTGATCTTTATTTCCCTTTGTATTCATTTTAAGCATCTAAATAAATTGCTGTATTGTGCTTAATGTAAATATTTGCTTTATTACACATTACAGTCCTGTGTCCATTATGTCTTGTGCCAGTTGATGCCATGGCTCACTTTCATCAGAGACAGAAGCCACGGCCACGGAGGAAACTTGTGAAAGACCGAGATGCGCCATTGGCATAAAGAATGCTTTCTCTCTAGGCACCTGTTACAAATTCTTTTGGTTTTGTTTTGTCGTTTTCCTTTTTTAACGGCTAAAATAAACATCCTTGAGTTTTTCAGTTCCCGTTGTGTTAAGGAGCAGAGCCTGCTTGTATATGTAAATGTCTCCGTGATAAAAGGATGTAAACAAATTGGCATTAATGTTCAGGCAGAGTGTTAATGCCCTGCCTTCTTCTAAAGGAAACAAACGTTAGTTTTCACCTTATAACGGGAACAATTGTACTAAACAGGCAACTACTCTCAGCTTTTGTTGTAACGCTCTTCACCATCTTGCTATTAAAAAGGCTTTGGAGATCACACACTGGAGGGCTGTTAAGATGGAAGGAGCAGCCATATTTACTGTACAGATTCCCAGTAGCAACTTGGACTAAAGAGTGGAGGGTTACAAGGAGGCAGTGTTAGGCCACCTTTTCAGTAATTACAACTATGATGGAAAGCTCCAGTCCGTGCAGTGGGCAGAAGCAGGGCAGGCACCTCTCGGGGACATTGGTCCAGAGAGTTCTTAAGTGGCTGGCTTCTGTAATTTCTAAGACTCCCTCCAATAGATAGGTGTAACGAAAGCATTAACAAGACCAAAGAAAGTTGAACAGCTTCCTTCTAAAATGTTAAGTCCTGCTTCTCGAAAAATTACAGGAGAAAGCGCAAGAATAGACCAGAACCTTTAGGGCATTTGGGGCTGGCATGGGGTGTCTTTTAAATCTGTTATACAAGTAGATTATAAATTCTATAGACCCCAGCTAATACTTAGGACAGGATGTCCCCAAATTCAGAGGTCACAAACTACCAAATCAAAAACCGGCATTGAGAAGGCCGGTTTTCTCTTCCTTAAGGATAGTAATAGCAGCTGAATTGAAGCCATCTCCTACTTGGTTTGAAAGTCTGCTGAATAAGTTCCTAGGCAGGAAGGACAGCCTGGACTGGAGTCCTACTTGGAGGTCTAATGAGACTGGAGTTAGACTAGTGGAGGGGAAGGTATGTTCCTGGTGGGACATTTGAGCAGAGACAGATGCGCATGCTTCCTTGCTCAGGTGGTGGGAGTGGGCGTTGTTGGCTTTCGGAAAAGAATTGAGCCACCTAAGAATTGGAAATAAGGAAGATCCCCAACTAGAAATGTTGCAGAAGTCTGAACGTGTCTCAATAAAAGCCATTTTAAAAGAATGTTGTTGCTGTTTGCTTTTGGAATAATCTGGAAGGAAAGTAAAAGCTTTGGAACAATCTGGAAGTAAAAGCTGCGGCAATCTGCACCTTCTAATTAGAGAATGAATGTCTATAACTGTAGACTGAACAATTCTGTAAATTTTCTTTCAAGGAAATTTTTCGCCCTTCAGATTTTCTAGTAGCCACGACTTCCAGAGTCAGACTGACTAGCAGCAGGACTTCGCTCCCTTTGTGGCGCTTCAAGACATTTCTTGTGCCATCTTTGGTCTCTATTACAAAAACAGCTCTGTGTCCTCTCTCAAGAGTGAAGCAGGAAAGATCTAGTCCTTTTGAGTACCCTATAGTTGTGTATCCAATCTGAGTGCCTGCTCTTTTGTAAAGATTAACACTTCAGAGAAAAAACAAGTCTCAGATTTGAAAAACGATCTGTCAGGTTGGGGGGATGCCCCATCTGAGACACCCCTGGAAGCCATTAAATGTGATCTTGTCAAGGGAGTACTGCCATATACAGGGGGTGGTTCCCCCACCTCGAGGTGAGGCTGCCAGCATCAGACTCCAGATGGAGGCCCCAAAATCCTTTCCGCTGGGAGGGGAGTGCTCTGCCACTAAAGCTGGAGAATCACTTGTTTTGAGCGATGGAAAATACACTCTACTGGTGAGATTAAGTAGAATATATTAAACCTATGGCTTTCACAGAGCATCAGGTCAGCCTTCTTGCCCCTTCTCTTAGGCAGTGGTCTTTCCTGCCCATTGTGACCCTTACTTCTAACCTACCCTGTGGCTCCCTGGGTTGGCCACAACCGCAAGCGTTCTCACCAAAGTGTCATGGAGGAACAGCTCAAATTACTGAGCCCCCAGACGACTGGCAATAAAGACATTGTTTCCATGCATTCCAACATATCAGTGATCAGTTCGGCCTCTATGAGGTGGTCTGGAAGAAGACAAACTTGATGCATCAAGTTAGGAAATGAGGCATTTTCTATCAACTACTAGGTTACCTTGAAAATAGATCCAAATTTAACCAAAGGAAGGGTCACTTAGTAATTCTTTGCATCCTGCTACTTCCCATCAACATACTCCACTTAAAATAACTTTTAACATTGACTATAATTCAAGTCTAAATGGAACTGCAAATAAGGTAGGAGTTGTACTCAGAAATCAGCATAAGGTGAAAAGTTCCAGATCCTGAAAACCCTACAGTCAAGATTTCAAAGGGCTTCAAGGAAGAGAAGGACACAGGAAGGAGGGTCCACAGTCCTCTCCAGGGCAGATGATCTGTGGATGGAATAAAGGGCACAATCTTTCCTGTTTAAATGAGTTGTTGCAACTGTGCTGTGTGTTTTCAGAATACAAAGTTGCGTCTGATGCAAACCAACTGCGACCGCCTGCCCAGGACACCTCAGCTGGTGTTGGCAGGAGTCTTGCTGGACTGTTAGTAAGGTCTTACTAAGCGAGGCAAAATGGATATCCTAATAAGCCAATCGCTCACCTTTTGGACGCTAAGAAAGCAAGCAACTAGAAGAGGGCTTTTCCAAAGTAGCTGTAAGCATTGTGCTGGCTGTGACCTGGACTAGAGAGGGACGTGACAGCTAGTTGTCCGGACAGTGTATGCGAAGCAGCCATACGTGAGAGGCTGTGGATGAACGGGAAAGGCTGCCTCCAGCAGCAAGTTTAGATACATGGGGTTCCCTGGGAAGAGGGAGCCAAGAGAGACTCAAACACAGCACTGTCCTCCAAGGACCCTTCTCCTCCAGGCCAGGGGCGTGACTCCACCTTCCCTAGCAGCTCAGCACACCTTGAGATTATTCGAGTACTTTCTGAACATCCCTGAAGGGTTCCTGGGACTAGTAATGGGGTACTAGAATTCAAGGTAATTTGAGTCCTCAGGATAGTCCTGTGCCAGTGCCTCAATACCCATCCACCCCCAAGCGCCACCCTAGACCCCATGGGATGGCGGGCGGGGACCTCTGAAGGGAGGCTAGCGCCAGATTTGAGAAGCTAGTTTGTCCTAAGAGCCCAACTGGCAGGGACCGACATATGCTGACTTGGACCCAAGACATCTGAGTCCACACCCCCTGGCATTCCAACCACTCCACACAGCCTTAATTTGGGCTAAAGACCAGCCTCATAATAAAGGTTTTCCCTGCTATGAATGCAGGGACACAGGAGCCTGGTCTCTAAACCAGAACATCAACACAACATGCTTTCCCCGGCACGGCATCTCCCAAACTACCCATTCATACTGTATCTTTGTCATCTGCCTAACAACCGTTTTATGTACTTTGTATGTTTCAACTGCCCTTTTCATTTTTCTTTCAAGTTTGTTCATGGGGAGATGGAGCGGGGGAGGGAGAGGAGTGCAGAGCCTGACGGGGCTCGATCCCATGAACTGGGAGATCATGACCGGAGCTGAAACCAAGAGTCGAACATTTCACCAAGTGAGGCCCCCCGGGTGCCCCCCAACTGCCCTGGGAAAACTTTGCCTCTACGAGAAAGGACGACCAGCATAATGTGCCATTAATGAAGACATCCCTAAAAATAAATACAAGACAAAACATTATACTAAACTTTGTCGCCTGCTACCGCTTGCTGAGGGCTGTGAGCCTGAGGCTGGCTCTGCTTGTTAAAAAGGAAAATCAGAGGGAGTCAGGGCCAATTAACACCAAAATGAGACTGTCCTGGACCCAGGAAGGACTGAAAGAACCGGGGGAGCCTCGAGTCTCGGTGTGACTTCTGTTGCCTAATAGCAGGCCGTGTAGCACCGAGGAGCCAAAAGGTGGCTCTGGCTCAGAGTGTTCCCTGGTGGGGGGGGGGGGGGGGGGGGGGGGGTCTGCCCATCAGTGACCACCTAACTCTCCTCTTCCAGCTTTAGACTCCATTTTTATGAAATGGGAGCCTCACCGGCAGGTAACAGAAACCCCAACTCACTGTGGTTGACAAAGGGGACACGCAGGTGACCTACAGTGGTGTAGGCAAGGGCTCAGGCCCACTGTCCTGTCCTGCCACCCACATGGTCGCCTTCATCCTAGGCAGGTGTCCGGAGGGTGCTTCCCATTCACCTTGCCTGGGAGAGGGTTTCCCTTCCCTCCCTAATGAGCAAGAATCCCGACATGGGAGCCAGTGGGACCATTCCAGAACTAGCTCTATGGCTGGTGGCCTTAGATCAGAGCTATCTCCGGGAGCCTCTGGGAGCTAAGATGACCTTGACTGGCTTAGAGCAGTCAGTACCCATCTCAAAGCTGGGGTGGAATCAGTTCAACACACATCTTCTGATTCAAACCCAGCCAATTCAAACCCAATTCCGCATTACACGCAGGAAGGCAGGAGGCAGAGGTCAGGGCCCCTGCGCTCTTCAAATGAAACCTTGTAAAACAAGAGGTGTGGTCGCTGCCACCCAGGTAGCCGATCGCTGAAAATCCCCTGCCTGCTCTTCTCCGAGAGCGCAGATGCCTGGCTGCGGATGAAAATCCCCTGGGGGCTCGAACTCGGCCCCTCCCCCGGGGCTTCTCATGTAGTTGGGCCGGGCTGGCCCAGCCAATTCCCCTGTGCAACCAAGACTTGGAAGCTCTGTTTAAAAGACCTACACGTGAACATGGCCTAGAGCACGAGCCTTCCCCTTGCTGCCTGTGGCTTTCCTACGTAAGAAGAAAATTTATTCCATTTCTCCCCATTCAATAAACATGAGTTGGACAGCTTAAGAACCCCCATCTCTACACTCAAAAAGGCGACCTGTGTGTAGAAACCAATTTTTTTTAATGTTTATTTTTGAAAGAGAATGCGCGTGTGAGCAGGGGGGAGGGGGACGGGAGGAGGGAGCCCGAGGATCAGTAGCAGACTCTGTGCTGATAGCAGAGAGCCTGACATGGGGCTCGAACTCACAAACCGTGAGATCATGACCTGAGCTAAAGTCAGACGCTTAACTGAGCCACCCATGCACCCAAATCCAATTTTTAAAAATTTTTTACATTTATTTATTTCTGAGAGAGAGAGAAAGAGAGAGAGAGAAAGAGAGAGAGAGAGTGTGAGCAGGGGAGGGTCAGAGAGAGAGGGAGACACAGAATCCAAAACAGGCTCCAGGCTCTGAGCTGTCAGCACAGAGCCTGATGCTGGGCTCAAACCCACGAACCGTGGGATCATAACCTGAGCCGAAGTCGGACACTTAACCGACACAGCCACCCAGGCGACCCGGAATCCAATGATTTAAAGATTTTTTTTTTTTTTTTAAAGTAATCTCTACACCCAATGCAGGGCTCGAACTCACAACCCCGAGGCCAGAAGCTAAAAGTTCCACCAACTGAGCCAGCCAGGCGCCCCTACAGAAACCGATTTTTCACGTGCAAGTGAACACCCAGGCATCTCCTGGGCTCACGAGAGACAACGAAGAGATCATGGGCCTAAAGGGACAGCCCCACACTCCCAGGTGGGGTCACCGCCTCACCCACCCTCGGCTCTCTCCCGGACAAGCTGACAAGCCGATGGAAGAAAGGCACAAACCTTGTTCCCCAGGTGCTCCTCCGGCTCTGCCTGCTCTCCTCCGCCTTGGGCCCAGGTCCCCAGACGACAGGTGAGGACGGAACGCCGTGCTCCACGTCCAGAGCGTCCCTGGGGAAGCCCACAAGCAAGTCCTTGCCGAGGGAGGGCCCGCGGCCAGCCTGGCCCTGTCCACGTGGCCCTGCGGCAGGGCCGGGCGCCTGCCCTGCCCAACGACCCATGTCCCCCGCAGTCCTCTCCTCCACGCCTTCCTCAGACCCAGCCCCGGGTGCGGCCGGGAAAGCACGAGGCCACGAGTCGGAGCCAGGAAGGCGGACACAGGCCGCGGAGCCACTGCCAACCCCCGCGAGCCTGAAGTGCCTGCAGCTGACAATCACGGATAAGAATCTGGAAGCTTTATGAGCCCGCAGCCGGCCCCCAGGCCTCGCAGAGGAAATTCTGTGAAAGGTGCCCAGAGTCAGAATTGCTTCGAATTCCTACAAACCCGAAGACGGGGTGTGCTCCTGACC